TTCGTTGTGGGGGGGGGGGGGGGGTTTGCGGGATCGGGATTGGAGCATTGAGGGATGCTGACTCTGACAGTGGGGATCTTGGTAACATGTATCTGTGTAACCTAATGTCCCAGAGGATATGAATTACGGAATCCGAAATCGGAAATATGGAACACCGGAGACAGAGGACAGAGGACACGGACAACGTCCGGGTATACCGACGCATGAACATGTCATATGATGATCGGTCTGTTATTCACCCGGAAAAAAGGGCTGGATGTCAGACAGCTGAAAGGCTAGAGTTGGACGAGCCTGAGGTATGACGACTCTAGAAGTGGGGACAGAAACTACTGACAGCGGGCGTACCACACCAGCTGAATCATCATCCCGTACATCCTCCGAGCCAAACAGGCGCATGAAACAGGTCAAGCTCAACTGAAGAGGGGTATGTTAGACTTATGGGATAGGGATAGGGTTGGGTGCCTTCAAGGTGTGAGATTAGGAAACAGTTATCGGAGGTGCTTGGTGAGCCTCTCAGGACGCGAACCACGTTTGCAAGGTGACTGTGACTGTGACTGTGGATGTGGATGTGGATGTGAATGCAAGAATGAATTATGTGAATGTGAATACGAATGCAAAAAGTCATGCTACACAAACCCAAGAACCCCTGCCTTTCTCTCCGCCAACGCACCCAATACCTAATACCCAACCTCCTTACTCAGCCCTAACGCCCCACCACCCCTCCCCCTCCCCCTCTTCATCTTCAGCCAGCCCAGGCCCCCCTCTCCAAATCCTTACAAGCCCATCATCACCCCCCGTCGCAAGTGTATCCCCGTCTAGCCAAGCGACGAGAGCCACTTCTTTGAGGGGGTCATGTCCTTGCAGGAATACGCCTGAGGGAGCTGGAGTTGGAGTTGGGGATCCTCGGGAAGTGGAAGGGAGGGGAGAGGAGAGGGGGAAGAGCATCACCCCCCCTCCCGCGCTCCCCACAGCCAGCGCCCCACCCCCAGGCGCCGGCTGCATACGGACATAAAAGCTTCCAGGCTTGAACCGTCCCTCCCCCTCTGCCTGCGCTACAACCCCTGACAGCCCAAGCGTGAGAGGGTCGTACGCCCTGATATGGGAGGAAGCGGACAGCGCGAGCACGGAGCAGGAGGAGGAGGAGGAGGGGGAGGGGGTGAGTGTGAGTGCTAGGATGCCACGGGGGGAAGGGGGGGAGTGGGCGATGGGTAAGAGGGGGGAACGGGTGTCCCAGAGTTTGAGTATCCTACAAGCGTTGGTTAGGTTTGGCTGGAAGTGGGCAGGGGGAAGGCAGGGGAAGTAGCGTACCCATCCCCACTCCCGCTCGTGATAACCCTACACTCCCCAGCGTACTCTAGCCCTGTAACACTCGCTCGAGGAGCTGGCTTACGCCCTTTCCGCATGTGCTTGCCCGGCACTGGAGGGGAATGCGCATCAGGGACGTGGAGGATACACGCGTGCGTGCTGGCCAGCCGGACGTCCCAGATCCGGAAGGAGCCGTCTCTTGCTGCCGTACCCAGCAGGCCTGAATCAGGGGGTTAGAATGCGCCGGCGGGGAAGGGGGAGGGGGGGACGTACGAGGGTTTTCCGGGTCCCAGGTGACGCGTCTCAAGCTCCCTGTATGACCTTCCAGCGTTGTGATTGGACTCTGCGAAGCGAGGTCGGTGATCACGCAGTTCCTGTCTCCGGAGCCTGTTGCCTACAGTGCACAGTGTGAATGTGAGCATGCGTGCTAAGGAGGAGAGGGGGGCGTACGAGCAGGGAATCGTCCTCCGAGAAGGCGAGTGCGAAAACAGCGTTCTCATGCGGGGTGAGCGTCGTATACTGTGGTTCTGCCCAAATCATTAGCGTTCCCTGCCCCCTGCCCTGGAAGGAGACATACGGGGATCCCATTTCCTCCTCTTTTGGGTATCTACCAGCAGCACGCGCCCTTCTTCGGTGCCTATGGCTAGGAGAGGCCGGGAATGGAGGAACTGGAGGGAGAAGGGGATGCTTGTTTCTCGTTGGGGGAGAGGGGAGGGGAAACGGAATACGTCGGTGTGGTTCGAGGAGCGGAAAGAGTGGAGATGGGGTTGGAGGGATACTGCGGAGAGTGGTAGTTAGGAGTGTGCAAGGGAGGGAGGGAGGGGGACGTACGGGTGTATGGGCGTACACGCGCTTGATGCCGGAAATCGGTTATGAGACTTGGCCAGGCTGGTGCTGGGCGTCGTTCCATTCTGCGGGGCTTGACCTCGTCTAGCATATCCACATCCACATCCTCGTCCACATCCCCAGAGCGCTTGAGTTCATCCTTCAAGGGACTACTCTTGCAAGGACTCGAAAGTTCCCATTCCACATCGGACGAGCGTGGATCGCGACCCCTTTTGACCCCTCGCTTTGGAAGGGAAGGAGGCGAGTTCTCCCTGCCTGTGCGGTTGAAGTAGGCAGTGAGGGACGAAGGTGAAGTGAGGTTTGTGCGATCTTTGAGTGCTGGGCGGGACATGCTTGGTGTGAGGAAGAGGGTGAGAGAGTGAGACGCGCGTGTGTACATTACTGACGCGTCCCATTTGGGTGTCACGGGAATTGGGACGGAAATGCGGTTCGGGAGAGGTGGCGTTGCGTATGTGGTCCATGGTCAAATGGTCAACGTCGTTCACTCAGTGCACTTGTCTACTTGGATCGACTTTGCGTCATCAGCGTAGTTCACGACGTCACTTCACTCTTACACTATGACGACACTTACATCCTATCCCCCCCCTCCCTATCCAAAACAGCGCACCATCTCCGCCCCTCTTCCCCCTTCTCCCCATCTCAGACCTCATCAAAAGAAACCCATCCTGACATGGTTACAACGTAAACTTCAAAGTGCCCGTCGTGCAAGTAGTTCACTTCCACCTTCTTTACCCAGACCAACAGGGAATGGTTATCATCCTCTACCACCGGGTAACGGTCATCCACAGAACATCAACACAGACAATATAACCAATAATGGCACTCCATTGGAACCTTATCCACGTCGTCCAACATCAGGATCTGTATCTGACTACCCACCAACCCATACATCAGCAGACGACGACGCCTCTACCCGTCCACTTCCCCCAACATCCCCTCCTTCCCCTGCACCGTCAATGCACACCTACTCCTCCCTTTCCATCCGTTCTAGCTCCTACAACCCCAGCTTCAGAGGCAGCAGCTTTGCCATATCCGCATCTACGAAGCCTACTACCTTGCTATCCATCGACACTGCCCCCGCTCCCCCTGCAACAGCAAGAGGCGCACCGAGTATCCATTTCTCCCATCTACCCCCAAGCAGCCCAACCCCCTCCGCCAGTGCACCCCACACGCCCACCCAAGCAGCTCTAGGTCTCCCAAGCACAAGCGGACCGACAACAGAGGACAAGCTCTCTTCTCTCGGGCTCAAACCCCGGTTCCCGAGGTACTCCAAGCCTGACCCGGCACACAACCCCGACCCTTCCTCTCCAGCGCTGGACAACGCTTCGATCCTCACACTTGCTTCTACCACTGCGGATCGTAGGCCTGGGTCTGTCTACCCCGCAAGCAGGTGGGAAGGGTGGGACGAGGGGGAGGAAGAAGAGGGCGCTAGCGTGCGGGCGCTGAAGCCCAGGAGCAGGAGAGGTAGTTGGGGAACGGAGGTCACGGGGTTCACTCTGGGGACGGTGGGGACGGGGATGGAGCTTCCGCCTGGGGTGGGAGAGGGAGAGGAGGGAAGGGAGGGGAGTGAGAGGGTTGGGAGTTGGGTCGAGCCGGACCGGGACGTGGAAGGGGAGGGGGAAGCGGGGGGGACGGAAACGGAGACGGTTGAGGGGACCGTGGGTGCAGAGGGCACGGAAGGCGCGGAGGGGGCGCTGCATGTTGCTGCTGCCCTGCTTATGGAGGGAGAAGAGCCTAGGGGTGCGCATGCAGCTGAGGGAACTTCGGACGCTCGGGTCGTATCCCCAGAAGCATCAGCATCAGCAGCAGCAGCAGAACCAGCAGACGCAGACGCAGACGCAGAACCAGCAGCAGAACCAGCAGAAGCAGAAGCAGGAGAAGCAGACGCAGAAGGAGAAGGACAAGGAGAAGGAGAAGGAGCAAGCCTAGACGCAAGCACACGCACAATCCTAGGCTCCCTCTGGCCAAGTGCAGTACCCAGTCTGGCGGGGAGTACGAGGCCTTCGGTCGTTGGGAGCGCGAGGGGCGGGGAAGAGGAGAAGGGGCGAGGTGGGGGCGAGGCAGGCGCGAGCGGGAGCGCGAGCGTGAATCGGGGCATGCTGGGCGAGGACGAACCCCCGAATTCGGCCAGGACTGGACAAGCCGCCGGACCTGCTACTGGCACTGACACTGGCACTGGCACTGGCACCGGTACTGGCGCGGGGGTGGTCCTGGAAGGTGAGGGGGAGACACCAGTCAAAAGCCACAAGCAGGAGTCGGACAGCTGATGTGCGTCATTCTGACTTGTTCTGCCTCCCGACCGACATATTGAGAGAAGCGTGAACTGACGGACTGGACTGTCGGTTATGTGTACGTGTACCTTCCGACTGTCTTCTGATGACGGGCGGTCGATTATGGTATGTCAACTCCCAACTCCCAACTATCGACTATCAACTCTCAATATCAACTATCGACTATCAACTATCAATATCAATATCAACTCGATCACCGACCCAACTCTTCGCCGTGACTCATGAGCGCGAGCGCGAGCACGAGCACGAGCAAACACGTCTCCCAACTGGCAGCCGATGTATGGCACAGATTTCTCATTTCCCTTTCTCATTTCCCTCTCTCATTTCATGTTTCTTGTCTGCCTTTCTCTTTCCTCCCCTCCCCCTCTCTTCCATTCCCTTCCCTATCCCCGTCAGAGGGGTAACGTAACGAACTTCTTTCCTTTTCTGCTCTTTGCGTCATATCCATATTCAGATTCATGCTTCGCCATCTCCCGTCCCCAGCACTTTATCGTCCGTCCGTTCATCATGCATGATCGTCCATCCTATCCTTTGTCCTTTCTCATCCTTCGTCCTTTCTCATCCTTCATCCCTCATCATCTCTCCTCATCTCTCCAATGCCCAACAACCGTGTCATAAACGTACACCGCTCCATGAATGAAATTTCCGAGTTTTGCCTGTGACTGTGAGGCTGCTGGCTGAGTAGAGGTGGAAGTCTCGTTTCGGCAGACGTTAGCTCCGTATGGCCGTTCGCAGAGTCTAGCATTAGACGTGACACGGCTTTCTCCATAATACGCAATATCACTTTCGTTGTTCTTCAGCTGATATGGTCAAGAGGGGAACACACGATGGTTGTCTCTGAACATATGAGTGTTCTAATATAGCACTATTATAATAATGTACGGTATGTCTATGTTGACCATCCGCGTATCACTGAACACGGCAAAGGCCCCCCGGCCGATGATATAATACAAAACTTGTGGATGTCAACGTTGATTGCTAGGCGCTCCGATACAGTCGCAAGCAGACGTCCCAGAGGACCTACACAGCGTTAGTTAGTCCAGACCCAGGACGATAGGAGGGTGGGCGTGAAGCGGCGAGTCCTCCAAACGCTCATCACTCCCGCGCAGTAGCCCCAGATCATGGGCCAGACCGGCCACCAGCTTGCGATGTTTTCCAACACACGTCTTCTTCGACGGTCGCCTTCTGACCAGAAGGCGTATGCATGTCCGACGCCAACCGCTGACCATGTGTCGTGCTGGCGAGTATTCCGTACCACGCCTCCAGCGTTCGCGTCTTACGGGGCGTCGGCAGCCGTGTCCGTATCGGCGGTTTCCTGTCATGACTATGAGGGATACAAAATATGACAAGCAGGAGCAAGGCGTACCTCGACCTCGCTTTCCCTCTCTGTCTCTTGCCCATGCTCATCACCACCCCGCTCAATATCATCTCCACCCTGAGCAGTGCCCTCTCGACCAACTCCTCCAAGACGATCAAGGTTGTCGAGCAGGTTTGCGACAGCCGAGGTGCTCTCATTGAATTGGTGAAGTGGTACAGACTATCACTATTGCCGAGAATGACAACACCATCCCCAGTACCATGATGATACACCTCAAGACACGATTCACCAATTCAACGAGAGCACCTCAGCTGTCGCAAACCTGCTCGACAACCGATCTGCAAGATAATAAGACAAAGGGGAGCGAGGCGTTCTTGGACGTTACTTTACTCCAGCTCTCTCGATCCCTCGTATATGCTCATCGCTTCGACTCTTGACTTGACTTGCGTGATCTTGAGCGGTGGATTCTCGAGCGAGCGGAATCGATAGAATTTTCTGGCGCTTGAGATCTTCGCGCGTTCGTCTCATACTCATCACTCATCGTCATGATAGCACAGTATCGCAATCATTTGGAAGGCAGATGCATGCGTAGGATTGTTGCGGGGAAGTTACTGAAGGAAGGCAGTGAGGATGGCAAGAGGTTAAACACGTTGAGGACACAAGGTGGGTTGCGAAAGAGATGCGGACGGCCGAGAGGAACGGCGTTTTACTCTCCCTGTCAGGTGCCAGGGGCTGTGTGAACGTTCAGGTTGACTCGGAGGCATTCTACTATCAATGATGCATTCTTCCATCAGCGCCCGATTATCATCTCCTTAAATAAATGCGACGCTATGAACTCTTGAGAGTCAGGAGATGGCCACCTCGCAGTCCAACATCCAAGTAATCGTCCTCCCGTGGTTCCCCCAAGATTCGGTGCGCTTGCTCGCTGTCTTCATCACATCGTGTTCACGGCGGTCTCAGCTGTTTGATCCAGCCCTTCGACTGCTAGACGAGAATGTCAGAGCTTCTGTCACACGATTCTACAGAAAGGAAGGCCGGTGGCGTATGTACTTGACACGCAAGTCATGTCGAGCACCGGCTGATGGTACTTAGGCTCTCTCCTCGGTCGCCTTTTGACCGTCCTGGTGCTGCGGGATCAAGGTGCAGAGGGAGAGCTTCAATTTGAGAAAACATCCCGAGGAAAGCCGTACTTGGTGCGAAGACGATTCTTGCCGAGAAATAACATGTCTGACTCTGCATCAGGCCCATCCAGTCCTACATCCGCCCATTCTCTTCAACATTTCTCATGATAATAGCCTCATTGCCTTTGGATACTCTCGACCCCTTGGGGATGGGCCGCATCGCATTGGTGTGGACTGCATGAAGCTCGCTATCCGTTCGGATGAGACGCCGCGTATGTTCGTTCAGGTGATCAGCGAACAAGTACGTTCATGCCCCTCTCCTCATTTCCCCTGTTCACCCGTTTGGCAGCTTACGCCAGGCGAACTCGCATCACTTCAACAGCCAATGTCGGACGAGCATTTGATTGAACGCGCGTTCATCATCTGGACGATCAAAGAAGCCTTTATCAAGGCCATCGGCGAAGGCATGGCTTTCGACCTGCAGCAGATCGATTGTCGTTTGGACCAAGGGGCTATCTGGGTCAGCGGCATGCCCGCTACAGAATGGCAATTCAGGCTATGGGCGATTGAGATCGTGCCTGCCGGGATGGCCCGACAGAGATATGCCGTGACGACTTGCGAATGGGTCGGAGAGGGAGGCGGGGTTATTTTCGAGAATGGAAGTTCGGACCGACTGGAGCTCATGTTGGGAACCGATCTTCTGCGTCGCGTCGGTCTCGTATCAGCTGAAAGCGAAGCAGAGATGCAAGTCACCTTTGGTGCCTTGCACTGGTTAGCATAGAGGCGAATGATGCGTCACCCCACACACAGTGGCGTTTTCTGTCGAACACATATCTACTCGGTGCAACCAATGATTCGCGCACCAGCTATTCTAGTCTTAGAACAAAGCTCTATGGACGCTGGTGGGCTTCGAATACTCTCACCACTTCGGAACACTACTACCGCGAACAACAACTGAGGCTCTCTCTGCAAATGCGTTTCTACTCATTCTGAGCAGTTCATCCTTCCTGTGAGGCGTTTGCCAGGCTGTCTCGGATACAACATGCCTTCCGTCTGATGATCCACGGCTAGAGCGGGATCAAAGGTGCTTGCACTCCGCTTCGGACGACCAATAATCGAATAAATTGACAATCAGTATCGAACAACCTGTAAGTCTGCTAGTCCATTCTAAGTGTGGAATGCAAATGTCTGACTCTATTTCATCGGAAGTCCAAGAAGCAGTCATGTATGAGGGCAAGGACAGGCATGAGACCGTCCCAGTGTGCTCACTGCCCCGGGTTGCGGACTCGCGATGCGATCCACTGAATGAGCAAGTCTCTGATCAGAATAAGGAGGATGAGAGGGCTACCAACGTTGCTGCGTTGCCACCGGCAGTTTCCCTAACTACACCGTCAAGTTCTTCTCAGCGTTGGCCGGAACCTCCTCCGCTGCCTGGCCCGTTGTTGACTGGGCCAGAGTATGAATTTGAAGAAGCTGTGAAGCGCGCGAAACGGAATCTCCCAAAGCAGCGGCGCGAGTACTTGGCCAACCACCCTCATATTCAACTTGCCGAAACTTCTACTGCAGGGTCTGGGCCTCAACCTCGCATGCAGACATTGCCCGAACCTACGAATAGAGTTCGCGATGGGACTCGGTTTTTACTATCTGCAGGAACAGCCGGCAATTCTATGGATGCAGTCCGTCTCTCCTCGGAAAATCCCTCCGCACATCCTGCCATGTTCGAGCTCTCTGACTTCAGACTTCCCGAGGAGGATGAAGCACAGGAGCATGGTCGTCCATCCAGCTCGAACAGCTCGGCAACCCATGAACGTCATCTCGGTTCTGCTACCTACAGAGCTCTCCCATCAACTGATGCGGAGTCTTCATCCATGGCAGAAATCTCCTGGATCTCTTGGGCCCGTTCCGTTTGGGCGACATGGATTGGGTGCTTTTAACGAGCAAATCTTTCGTTATCCATGCCCCAAGCACTGTGACTGAAGTTCTCATCTGGATCGGGATGATCTGTACCTCCTTGGCGGCAGGACCAGGCATGCAAGGTTACACTTCACCTTCGTCGTCACTTCGATCAGCGGGGATCAGCACTGACGCCGCATACATATGTACATGGCATAACATCGGCCTTTGTAGTCCCATGCCTAAAGAAGCAGAGGCTGCTATATAGCCTCACCATCAGGGCACTACATTCCCGCGAAAGTTGAACTTCACTGCAATCCTGTGTGTGATACATAGGGCGATAGGTTCTCGAGATTCACTTCCCGGAGAGGCGGTGAGAACCGGGCTTCGCGGGCGTCTGTTGGCCAGAAAAGGGACGACAGTATTGGCCCCAATGATCGAGGATAATATCCCGTTTCTCTGCCGAGGCTTGATCCATGCAAATGTCCCCCAGGACCGTGGACCTGGTAGGTGGAACATATACCAGAGGATCAGAGAGACGATGTTAGCGAGGGCGAGGTATGCTCTTTTGCCGAAGACACAAGAGGATAGACACGTTGGCAGTGCCAGGGGGGAAGAAAGCATATGGTTCGTAGGTAGAGATCGGGGTAATCTATGTTGATTCAATGCCAAGCACAAGAATGTATCACCGCCCGCAGAGAGCTCTTCCTTCATCGAACGAGCTGCGAGTACAAGATTCTTCCTGATAAGGACTCGCATCTCTTACCGAGCCCGCATTGTCTCCCCCTGATCAGACCACACTTCGGTGCTAAACTTACATCACTTAAGAGACAAGCGACATAGGGGTACACGTGCGGGGCACGCTTAGTGCTATTCATGGAGGTAAGAACGTTGTCGCCCTTTGGACACACATGAGGCAATGACACGCACACGATGAATTTATATAGACAAGTGCCGACTCCGCATGGCGGGATAAAGGCATGCCCACTTCCCAGGCCTCGTGGTTTCCATATCCCGACGGGTCACATCCGAGGCCCACCCAAATGAGAGGAAGCCAGGGTCAGCCGAGCGCCTGGTCCGGTTCCGAAAGGAACCCGCTGTGCTGATGTGTGATCAATGGGATGCGGCAAGTTCCATAAAGGGACAAGGCTACGATACTTTCCGCCATAGCCGGGAAAGTGCGAGACGGAAGGACGGTGCGAGCTGACTGCTGGCCGTATTAATGCTCGGAGCCGAGGAGGAAGTGCTTGTCGGACAAAACGGGAATCAGGGTTCGATGACATCAGCGGAAGAATTCGCATTGGTTAATGACTTTTTCAGTGGCCAGCAACCTCCTATCCGGTAGCGCTCGGCGCATTTCCAATCTGTCCTTTCGCATGCTCCCATGCAGTGTACCTAACACGTCCTTCTGACACGACCACCGTATATAAGGTATGTATCGCCTGCTGTTCCTCCATCTCGAGCTAAGCAGACTACAGCCGGTCGCATTCTCCATACCTACGGACAAGGTATCTACACCCCGTACGGCCCGCAACATCCACCATAATCGCACGCCATAATGCCTACGAACTACACCCCCGGTTACATGCACATCCTCATCTACTCGGTGAATAACCATTCTGGCTACGTCGCACTCGCACTCGCAAACACCTACGCGACCGCCACGTACTACTATGCGTACGATTCGCCCGACGAGCCAGGGAGAATCATGATGCTTCCTCTGAGCTTGCTGCAGAACGGATATCAAATATTCGCCATGTCTCGATGCTCGACGCGGCCAACGGACCTACGAGAAATGCAAGTTGCGTGCGACGTCGTTAATAACCTTCCGGGTGATAGAAGCACCTGGGGGCCGTGGGACTGGTGTGTTGCCCTTCTTAGGGCTATGCCAAGGGAGATGGTGGACATCGGCGCACTCGCTGCGTTTGCACTTAACACTGGGCTTGAGCTGCAGGGGTAGCGAGCAGTTGGGGGGTGGGGACTAATGAACGCAAGCCGGAGGGCTTGCCTTGCACATGGTACATTGAACATACATGGTACTGTACTTTGTACTACACTGTCTACATCGAACATGCACACAACTGATCACCGCCGATCTGCTGATTCCCCATTCAGATCGTTCGAGAGAAACCCTGGACCGCCCCCGATGGATGTGGGTCATTGGCGATATGTACCGGAGCATCACTGCCTTTTGCGGCTATCGGAGCGCCTTCTGGCGGGAGAGTCACCTGCATTTGGTGCAGTCTTCCAACTGCTCGAACTTCGGAAGTGGATACTACACCCACTGATCCCAACAAACAGCATCGAGAGACGGAAGTCGCTGTGGAGCGAAGATGTTTCTCATGATGCTGGACTCCGATTGCGGAAAGTTTAACTCCACGCAGGGGCACGCATCCGCTTCTTCCGGCAAATTCCGACTTCGTCCACGTACTGCGCACCTTTCCCAACTAGGACGAGTTTCCCAACTAGGACGAGTCAGAGGCCCTGCTCACATTCCCTAAACCCCTATTTTAGTCGTAGGCTGTTTGCATCACCAGTCCGGTGTGTAGCGGTGCCTATAGGGTGAGAATCAGTTGAACTCCCTGGGTTCTAACAGTCTGAAACAGGTCGGCATGAAAGGAGACGGCACTGGCAAGCGACCGCATCTTATCCCAATGAAAGATGGACAAAGCACAAGCAACTAGTAGCGCCCATTGATCTTTCCCGATTAGCTCAAAGGCTAACAAGCTGGGGCTCTTCATCGAAGCCAAGGAGCTGGTTCTGGGCTTCTGGGCTTGGAACTGTTGCTTCCAACTGTTGCGTGGACCTTGGCTGAACGATCTTCTGTATTTCGGCACCGTTAGGGCCGGTTTAGCATGTTCATCACGAGCCAGGCATGCTCGTTGAGGTGTCTCTGACTGGATCGCAGACGAACGTATCAGAGGCAGCGCGCTTGGAGACCAAATTAGAAAGTTGGGAAGGGAAGCTTTGCTGGGAGTTGCCAGCGCTACAGAACGAACGGAGGAGAGCTTTCAGCTTCTACTACAGAGGGAGAAGGCAAGTCTAGACAACCGCTCGACAGGAGGAAGAATAGAAAAACTGTTATCTTCAGAACTTAGGAAGGCAAGAACCAGAGAGAGGGAGTCGATGATCCTCTCACGTTGCACGTGTGCAACACGAGTCAGCGAAGGTATAGTCAAAGGCGTGAAGTGACATGTTGCACAGAATACCTATCTGTCTGTATCCACCTTACAGCGACGATCACCTGTTCAGCTGTTTCATCACCTCTTCGACCGTGCTCAGAACAAAGAAATCATGGGCGTTGACCGCGGGTTTGACCTCTACCCTCCGCTCGAAGATTCCGAGCCGGACATGTCTAGATGGGCGAACTTCCTCGAAGCTGTCATTCGCTACTACCGCGGAGACGAGAACTTCACCATCAATAAGAACAATGACCTCGTCTTCAAGCAGGGCGAGGGGCCCACGCTCATGCGGGAGGCACACCGATTCCGCCGGTTCAGCTCGAAGGTGTCGGGTAGCCACGCGGGGAACGTGGAGACTTATCTGAAGGAGGTCGCGCGCATTGCGAAACGTTACTTTGGGGAACGGATCAAGAGTTGGTACGAATTGGACGATGGGCTGATGGTGCCTGACCATGCGCTGGAGGTATATGGGTACAATGTCGCAAAAGGGGTATATGGATGGGATGAGGTGTATGCTGCTAGGGATGGGAAGTACGACGCTGTAGAGGGGAAATATACTGCTCGGATGGTACCGGTGTCGAAGGGAGCTATGTAGTCCGAGCCTGTCGTTTCTCGTAGGGTGGATGTCGCGGGACGTTTGCACTACTGAATACGAGGCTCCAGCTGAAGGGATAGCGGACGCATGGCCATCACCATGATTCATGGTACTGCCCATTGCCCATTGTACTGCACTGTATACATCTATGCACATGACTGATCACGGCCGATCTGCTGATTCCACACCAGGTCAGACGAGACAAACCAGGGGTTGGATCGAGCGTGGCAGATGCGGGCCATTTCCGATACGCTGGGGATTGTTACTTCCTTTTGCGGCATATCTTCCTTAATTGGGAAAGATTTGGTTTTGTCATCCTTTAGGTGAGCTTGGTTGTACCGTTGGTGTTGCATCCGGGGTTGGCTGGAGAGTCTGATCCGGGCGCGGTATGCGAACACAGCTGCCTGTCCTGCCAAGCCACCGTATCTCACCCCATTAGCAAGACAGACGAAGAACAAGCCGTGATCACGGCCGGTCTGCTGATTCCCCGCCAGGTCAGACGAGACAAACGAGGGGTTGGATCGAGCGTGGCGTATGCGGGTCATTTGCGATACGCTGGTGTTTATGACTTCCTTTTGCGGCATATCTTGCTGATTTGGGAAAGATTTGGTTTTGTCATCCTTCGGGTGAGCTTGGTTGCATTGGTGTTGCATGGGGGTTGGGCTTGAGGGTCTGAACCGGGCGCGGTATGCGAACACAGCTCTGCCAAGCCACCGTATCTTATCCCATTAGCAAGACAGACGAAGAGCAAGCCGAAGCACCGGCGTCAAGAGCTCTTCTCCAGACCAGAGACTCCGAGTGACTGGGTGTGTTAATTGGACGAGTCGGAATTTGGATCGACGATCGTCTGTATTTGTCATAGCAGGAGGTATAGGAGTCATCGTAAGCCAGTTATGTTGCTCGTGTTGTTCCTTTGGCTAGATATCGGAGATACCAGGGCTAGGCAGGGCTACGGAGCTTCAAGTTGTCGGAAAGAGCAAGAGCAGGAGGGTGCAGGACAGAACAGAAGTAAACGTGTGGACTAGCTTCCAGCTCCCACGACAAATGGAGAAGGCAACACCGAGTCTAGACAACCGCCTGACAGGAGTTTAGATAGAAAAGCGAGGGAAGATCAGGTCCGTTGTCCTAACAAGTCAGGGAAGGAGAGAACCCTTGACCCGAACCCCCAGACCCTGTTGAGTAGGGCCGAGGCTTTTGGGTTGAAGGAGGAGAGTAGGGCGGTTCTTTCTGGAGTGTTCGCTGGCATGGCAGGGCGATGTTGAGGTGTGAGCATGGCGGTGGTGGTGGTATAGCCGGAGTATTCAGTCTAGTGTTATGAAACAGAGAATGTATTTGTGATATCTAATCAAGCGTGAGTATTAGAGGCTTTAGAGTGATGATGATGTGATGGTGAAGAGAAAGGGACGGATGTCGCGGAGACTTGAAAGGGAGTGAGAGAAGTGTGTGCCTGAACCAATGTGGCGCATATTCCCATCACTTTACTCTTAGCTGCTCGCTCGCTGTTCGCCTCGTCCCCTTTGCCCACTCTCTCTAACCCTCTCTAACCCTAACCACCGGTAAACCCCACGAAGCAAGCGGGGGTAATGGCCACCCCTACAGCTACTCCCACACCGTCCCACACTCCTCATTCATCACCCTCCATCCCTCAAGCATTCACACAACGACGGACTTCAATTCGACAACCAGCAAGACCGTCTACTGCTCCTTACCTCACTCATGCTCCCATACTCGGGGCAACACCCTTGAGCCAACTCAGGCCACGATCAAGTCAACAGCTGAGGAAGAGCACATCCTCAATACACCCAGTACACCCAATGCAACCCATCACACCCCCATTCCCTACCCCGAACCCAAACCAACAACAAGGAGAATCATTCCCCCTCTCTCCCATCTCCCCACAGCCCATCTCCCGCTGGAGAGCAAGTCTCGCCCATCTCCGAGCAGCAATCTCCAACCCCGCACCGGAAGACCCGGGCTTGTACTCGAGCGCAGACTCACTCCCATCCCGATGGGAAGATGCGGATGACGCTCTCTTTTTATCTGCCTTGACACATAATGGGGTCGGGGCGGGATTGCCAGGGCAGAGGGAGGCGGACGCTTTGGCAGAAGCGGAGCGAGGGGGTGGGGAGGAAGGGGAAGGGTGCCCGTACACAGGGAGATGGAGAGGCAAGGTCTACCAGAGCAGCACAGACAGCGTAGACGAAATCGTTGTCGACGGGTTCCTCTCCCGCCCGCACCCACGCCCGCACGCGCATGCTCTCCCCCAATCGCAATCCGAGTCCTCCGAACCCGAACCCCTCTTCTACCCTCCCTCGCTACGCGAACCCCCCTCCCGTGCGCCGCCCAACTCCTTCCCTGCTCTGGTATGGTATATCCTCGGCCTGGGGGGTGGGGTAGGGTGGTGCAGACGCAGAGTTTGGCCCGCTGTGGGACGGTTTTTCGACTTGAGCTTCTGGAGCGATGCACAGGAGGAGTCTTACAGGCGTGATGTAAGTTCCTCAGCGCTAGCATTTATCCGCACAGCGAATGCTGATCTTGCACAGTGGTGGTACACCTCTAAACAACTCGCATTCACAGCCTCCCTCTTCTATATCCTCAATACCATCCTCGCGATCTCTCTTATCCCGCGTCCCCTCAACCTGTACAACAAGATCACCTATTTCGGGATCGCGCCCCTCGTCACCGTGCCCATCACGATGATGGTCCTGTTCAACGCGCCCCGTTTCCGATGGAGACATAATTGGCAGATCGTCTACCAGCCAGTGTTATGCATGGCCACTTGGTGCTGGGCGTGGTTTAGCATTTGGGATATGTGGGCGTGTGGGTATTATCAGACGGTGGATCATCCGATGTGTGGGAATAAGGACTTCTTGTCGACATTTTAGTACGTCCTTTCCCCTCCCTCCCGTCTTCCATATCCGCGCATATAGCTAACCTAATCTCACAGTTTCGCCACAGCCCTCCCCGTCCTTGCCCTCTTCGCGCTCGGCCAGCACAGACTCTACGCTTCCCTAGGCGCGATCGCCTACTTTGTACTTATGTGTGTGCTTATACTGCCGGATCGGTCCAGTTGGGTCAGGAGTGAGTCTTTCTTTTTGGACAAAGTGTGGAGGGGAGTGCTGATGTTTTGGGTTGCTTGTTCCCTCTACTGCGCTCTCGCATATACGTGCCTTCGCTTCGCTCGCCAGACGTACTCAACTTCATCGTCTTCCAAGCCTTCCTCATCTACGTCCACTACATGCGCGAACAAGCCGAACGACGGATATTCATCCTCCGCGAGCAGCTCAAAGCGCAATTCAAAGTTACGGAAAAAGCGCAGGATCTTGAGCGTCGTGCCAGCGATAGCAAGAAGCGTTTTGTATCTTATATATTTCATGAGGTGCGCGTCCCACTCAATACTGCCCTCTTGGCGGTGCAGAACTTGGCGCCGGACGTGTTGAGCTGGAGGGGGAAGGATGATATTGAGTTTGGCGCGCTGGAGGGGAGTCTGAATATGATGTCCAAAGGTGCCACCACTCCCTATCCAGAGAGAGATAAGTGCTGACGCGTTTGTAGTGCTAAACGACGTGCTCGACTTCAACCGCATGGATTCGGGCAGGTTTGAATCCACCTCCTCTCCCTTCTGCTTCCATAACGTCATACGCACCATGCTTATCCCGCTCGAGCTAGCAGCCCAGGCTCGCGGGCTGAGCGTCACCACCCAGCTGGACACGGCGATCGATTCCGAGGCGAATAGGGCCGCGGCGGCCGAGTGCGAGTCGGGGGCCGACGCACTCCCTGTGCAGGGGGAAGGCTGGGTCTTGGGGGACGAGATGCGCCTTCGGCAGCTGGTGACGAACCTTACGAGCAACGCCTGCAAGTTCACCCCTTCCGGCGGGCGGGTGTGTGTGCGTACGACCCTGATCAAGCGCTGGGAAGGGCCTTGTGCGAGCGAGGATGGGAAGCCGAGGAACAGTTCTGCTTCTGAGTTGAGCGATCCTGGCGGAGAGAGCGGGAGCGACCAGAGTCCTTGTAGGTGGAGAGGACGCCCTGCTGGTAGAGATAGTATTGTCGTTAGGATCGAGGTGGAGGATACGGGCGTCGGGATCCGGCCTAGGGACATAATGGCCAACCAGCTATTTAGGTGCGTTCCCGTTCGACCTGCCATCATGATCCCGGTCAGGCTGACCTTGTGCAGCCCGTACGTCCAGACGGAGATCGGCAGATATCAAGGTGGGAAAGGCACGGGCCTCGGACTTGCTCTCGTTAGGCATATCGTCAAGCTCTCTGGGGGTAGGCTGGGCGTGCGCAGTAAAGTCGGAAAGGGGAGTACGTTCTGGGTCGAGCTCGCCCTTGGGGTGGGGAAGGAAGCTGTGGCCCCGGTTACGGAAAGGCAGCGGCTTGTGAGTGAGGACCTGCCCTTGGCTCCGTCTGCATCTGGGTTCGAGGAGGAGGTCCCTCCCCCGTTACTGATGAATGGGACGGGAGGGACAGGGACGATGTTCACTGCCATGTCTAATGTGGGGGGGATGAGGATCCCTCTTCCCCAGACGGGGGTGATCGACGCTCGCGCTGTGGAGGGGGCGACGCCTAGTACGCAAGCGAGCACTGGGTCTAAGGGGTACCTCGACACCCCCCTGAGCGACGGTGCGGGCTTCTGATTCTGAAACGTTTAAGGCTTAGCTCATCTTGTGTAGACTCGGCGATGAAGACTATCCTGGAACATGACGGTATGGTTGAGCTCACATCTCGCCGCCTGGCTCCTGCGCCTGTGCCTGCTTCTTCCCCAACCGGGACGGTGCGATCCGACCCCTCCCCCAACCTGGCAGAAACGCTCTCCACCCAGTCCTTCGCTCCCCTCCTACCGCCTGTTCCGCCGGAGGAGACAACGGCAAAGTACTCCCCGAACAGGGGTGTGTTGGCTGCTGCCCTCCTCCCTACACCGAGGGACTCGCCGACCGACGTGCCCGCCACTAACCCCGTGCGTGCCCCTGCTCCTTCCCCGGCTCCGGCTGTGCCTGCAGAGGAACCCCTGCCCGTCCTCGTCGTCGATGATGATAACCTCACGCGTCGGCTCATGGCACGCATGCTCTCCCGCATGGGGTGTACCGCCGACACAGCGGAAGACGGTTCCGTAGCGCTCAAGATGTTGCTAGGGGAGACGGCGGCAGCGCGGGCGCTAAGCTCCGACCCGTTCTACGCTGGCGCTGTTATCCCCCCTCTCTCCAACGGCCAGAACCAGGACGAGCCAACAGACGAGCATAAATACGGCATCGTCTTCCTTGACAACCAGATGCCGTTCTATTCTGGCGTGCAGGTAGTGTACAAGCTTCGCGAGCTTGGAAGGCACACGTTCGTCGTTGGCGTGACGGGGAATGCGCTTGCTGAGGATCAGCAGGAGTATCTAGACGCTGGGGTTGACCGGTATGCCTGACATCTACATCTTTGATTTGTGACTGACAATATTCGGCAGCGTGCTTACAAAGCCAGTAATGGAAAAAGACCTTCGGGCAATGGTGACGCTTGCGCGCAGTGTGAGAAAAAAGAAACGTGCCATCCCTCCCCCGGCTGCGCTACTTACTCCTCTACCACCATCAAAATCATCCGCAACGTCACGAAGTGACTTGACGGCACGACCATAGATGTTCCCCATTTTCGATTTTGACTTTCGACTCTTGACTTTCGGCTCTCGACTTTCGACTTTCGTTCCTGCCTCTCATTCCGTCGCTCTGTATCAGTAGGTTTTCGGACTTTATCTGCGACACTCTCTCGTCCATGTTTGCGAATTCCGCAATAGTTTGAACACGTTTGTTCTTGATGGCGTAATATCTCTGCTCTGCTGTTTCTCCTATTACACTATGCTCGAATGCGCTTTTGGGGTTTCTGACACGCTGTAACCATACATTACTATCTGTACTCGTAGCACAGGGATTGTCACGAAATTATCTTGACTGTTCCCCCCTGATGAAACCTTTGATCCGTTACCAAACGTTGGCCACCGAATCCCCAAAACCGAAAGGGACTAATCGGGATCATGACGACATGCCGACCATGTGTTCCCTTTCGGCTGCCTAAATATTCTCAAGCGCGCCGCGGTTCGGATGCGCGAAGTCACTTCCTGCTCTCTTCTAAACCGCTGTGCTTGTTGCGGAATGATAACGCGCGGCGTGTAACTGCCAACATGCAGAGAATTATCGATTATTCGCAGGGTAACACGTTTATTGACGAGCCTCTTGAGTGTATATCTGATATCACGTGCTCTTGCAGAGGATGATGATGCGACGCCGATGGAGATCGAGCACGATCCATTCACACCCAATACCCTTTACATCGCTGTCTACGCGACAGAGCGTGAAGGCAAGTTGCAGGAAGATCTTGGAATGATGTTTTGTGCCGTAACGCCTACCGCCGGCACGTACTTTATCGCCCAACCCCGTCCAGCAGATGGCAAGTTCATCTTGAACATGACGAGCACCTATCCAGCCGACTACACTATCCGAGGATGGTATCCGATTGGCAATAGACCTGTCGAATATCGGGAGACGACAACTGCTAATGGCAAAGTGAATGGAGTTCGGCGCGATATTACGACGGGCGAGTCATGGCTCTGGACCGCCCGTTTACTGAGAAGTTTCAGCGAGAAGCCGGACACGATCAACTGGGGTGCAGTCATACCTGTGGTTGTCGCACGAACTCACATCATGTCGGATGAATGTATCGAGAACATGGTTGGTGTTGTTCCCGGTTTGGAGGAGGCCATACAGAACAAGCAGACGTGAAGGACTGCATGGACGCTATTGTTGCCGCAGGCATGCAGGCTATGTTCAGGGCAGAGTTGTAAACTATCCATCGGCAATATTAGGTTCGCCTCACCCTCCTTTGTATATTGTTCTCGTCTATCACTCTCCACTTATACATTAGGAAGTTAATCGTAGGAGTTAAGTGAAAAGTGTTTATCTTCATACAGACGTTCTCACGGAGACACAGATTCATCTCGAAGGTGGATAATGACCAGCACGATATATCGCCGTGATCCGCCCGCAACTTTGGGCAAATAACTTGGGGAGCTCGCCCTGTGACTCCGAGCTATAAGATCGTTGCGTTGTATCGTCCAGAAATTAGGAGGCTCGTCCTTATCATCCCAGCGCGATTTACCGGGATGGATATTGATCTCCACATATCATCTCTTCCTGATCTGATACCGCATTGTGATCTGGGAACGCAGTCGTTTTCCTACTGCCGAGCCGTTTCGAGGAGTCGACATGACGAGAAGACCTATGATGTGACCAGCCACAAGAGGGAAGCTATAATGGGACAATCCGTTCTCGCATACTGTTGCGGGCATAAAGCGGAGTAAGAAGGCAGAACTGATGAAGATCGGATAAAACGCCGCACACTTGCTGCATTCAACCACACCCACAAATTGGATATTGCCACATGAATGCGCCACATTGAAAGGTCAAACACTCTTTGAGGTGATGGCGGAGAGAAATGATATGGTTAAGATCTGATGAAAGCCTGTTATAGATGACTTTCGTGATACAGTGGAATTACGTGCCACCTGGTCCCGCGGTCCCGCAGCCTTTATACCCGCAGGCAAGGCTAGCCATTTCGCAGCCCACGCCGAGGATGGGAAAGCATGTGAGGAAGGTCGGCCCCTCCCAGCTGACCAAGTGACTGAAGTACAGAAGTGTACTGATTCCAGGAGGTCGGTAACAGGACTGTGCGGACTTGGCGAACACGCTTTGGGGGCCGAAGACAGCAGCAGGCGATACGAGGGGATCTGAGAGGCTATGAAGGAAGTGCGAGCTTATTTGGGCGGTGCTGAGCATTGTGCGAGTCTTTGATGTGCTTGTAACGGGAGGCTTGAGCTGAAATAATGAAAGCACGCACAGGCGATTTACCTGCCATGGCACCCGCATTACTGCCCAGTGGATTGGCGGACGATCGACAGTGGGAGCAACTAATTGTTGCATCCTGGAATGGGATCGGCAGCTAGAAAAGAAGCGAGGGAATCCAGAAAAGATGTTGAGTTTCCGATGAGCGTCTATGACATGAAGATATAACCCAGAGATGTCTGGTGTTCGCATCCGTTGTGCTGAAGGAAAACATTTTTGTTGGCGGAGATTGGGCAGCGAAAATCATGTGATCATGATCATTATACAGTGCACATAGCAGGCAACCAGATGCACAAAACACGAGATGACAGAGACCAAGGTACAGATGTGTCGACCGCTCCGACAAGCAATGGAGAGCGACGGTCTATTCCATAGCGACCTCTTCGGCAGGTGCTTCCCTGTGTTAACAAAACAAGTCAATATGACTTCACGGGGAAAAGGAGGTGACTTATTATGTAGAGAACATTGTTACACCTGAGCGTCCGATTAAAATATGTGCATGTATGCAGGTTAAAGGAACCCACCGGATGAATACCTCCCCAAGCGCGCCATTCGACTTGCCGTCCTGGAACTCCTCTGTGTTCGCCAGCTAGCAAACAAATATAGTCAGTTCTTGCTTGTTTATGCCCCAAGGTAAGGAAGACGCACCTGAAGGTTCATGAACCCATCAGTGCTGACGAGATACCCCTTGTATTCGAAACCCCATTTCAGGCGAACGAGAACCTGCTTGCCAGTGAGGTCCTGAATGAACGGTTTGGGGTTAACGGGAGTGACCTGACACATTGTCAAAAACTTCTAAATACATCGAAGGCGATATACGCACAGGTCCAGGTCCAGACGACATATTGCCGTATTTTTTTGATGTTGACAAGTCTATAAAGTGGTGTGGTGGTGGTCGTGCGCGCCTATGACAAGCAAGGGCCTTTTCCCGGAAGCAACCGCCTCCTTTCAGGGTTCAGAAGAATCGGCATCGCCACTGCACTCTATATAACCCCCGCGGTTTTCTCGAGGTGAGGCGCGTCCCAGGGCCCGCGTGTCGAAGGAACAAACTATCGCCACTCAACATCGGAATTGACAGTTACTCCGAAACTGCTATCTGGAAGAAAAATCAAAGCAACTGGCGCTATTCTTGATCAAGTTTACACCTGAGAGGTTTTCGGAGAAATTCGTGAAGCGAAAATGTCGGACAACGAGATGCTTCACGGGGGAGACGACGACCTTAGCCTCCCCCGAGCGACGGTCCAAAAGATCATACAGGGTGCGTCTATCTCCGAAAATTAAGATTTCACTATATATACTTACATGCATATGTTTATTCTGGGATGTAGAGATGCTTCCAAATGAGATGATCTGCGCGAAGGACACAGTCACGCTAATTATCGACTGCTGTGTGGGCACGTTATTCATGGTCCCTCTTTGTCAGATATTGACCCGGAATCAGAGTTCATTCACTTGATATCTTCGCAAGCGAACGATATATGCGAAAAGGAATCACGCAAAACTATTGCACCCGAGCATATACTAGCTGCGCTAAAGGAGCTGGGTTTTGACAGTTATGTCCAAGAGGTCGAGAGTGTGTTGAAGGAGCATAAAGTGCAACAGAAGGTGTGTAACGTCACGTTTCTGTGTTGGGTCCACAGCGGTTTACTGATGCACGGATTGAAGGAGAGGGAAAAGAAGAGCAATAAGCTGAACAAATCGGAGTTCACGGAAGAAGAGCTGCTCAGACAACAGGAGGCGCTGTTTGCCGCAAGCCGAGCACGTTTTGCGGCAACGGGGGGACAGCCGGAGGATGCATGACATTCGAAAGACATCAGAATGCAGATATCAGGCACCTAGAAGGAGTTGGTGGTGGTGGTACTGGTACTAGTGCCGCTGGGACAAGTTTGTTTCCCTTAATTGGGGCCCTGTTGCAGAGTATTGTAAACTACCCTTGTGTACTCTAATTTGTATCATTGCTGGGCCCGACCGTCTCTATACTACGATCGGATACCCGATCCATGTTCTTTCTTGATTCGTACCAGCCCCTCGACCTGTACTGTATCTTTCAATGCCTCTAATCTGCTTCTTGCATCCACCTCCCAGCGCTCCCTCGCCGGCCGAAGACTATGTTGCTCGATCGTATACCCCGCACTCACGCTCCCCTACAACATCGCATCCCGTACATTTCCCTCTGTTAGCTCTAGACCCACAGCCAATCCGCCAAGGAAAGCGTTACCAGCACCTGTGACGTCTACCACCTCCCTTCCCTCTCGCAAGCAAGGGCGCACCCAGTGACCAGAATACTCGCGGGAATAAAGATACGCGCCTAGCTCGCCAGAGCGGATGATTACCGCCCCAGGTTTCCCTTCGAGAGAGGCGTTATATAGCTCCTCGGTAGCGCGCACGATGAGGGGCTTGGTGGGAGGTCCAGAGAGGGAGAGAAGGGAGAGAGCTTCGTCTGCGTTTGGGGACAGAATGCGTAGGTGTGGGATGACGCGACGGAGCTGGGGGAGCTCTTCTGGTATACAGCGGTCCTGCACGCACATTGGAAAAAGGAAGCAATTAACAATGGGTCAAGAGCACATTCAGGTGAGACTTACGGGAATAGGCTCATAGATCAGCTCCGGATTCCATCGTAGCTCCTGAAGCTCGTCGAGAATCTCAAGCGCCTTGTCGGGGAGCAGATGAAGTGGAGAAACTTAGGTCGAGCAAGGGGGGTGTTGACGAGATCTTTGGGCGAAATACGAACACGAGGGGAAAGGTATTCGAGCCTGTGACTCATCGTTAGCGAAAAGCGCGACTTGAAAAGAGTGACGTTTAACAATGGGAGAAAACATACCCTCGTACCTCCCCTCGGTAGATATTAGCTACCTTGGTAGTACCGCGCAAGGGGTCGTCACGATAATGAAATATGGTTCCGTAACTGTCCAAGGTCGATTGGAACATGGTGGGGAAGTCCCCGCCACGGTCGACGATCATGCCTATCTTAGTGGGTGGGAGCCTGGGATTGGGTGAATCATGCCACATAAACTGCCAGGGAAGAAGCAGGTACCATATGCGGGCTCCAATAGCACCTAAAGGGATGATGAGCAGGTAGGGGTGCCAGAGAGGGGTAAGACGCACAGTACGTCCCTCCGCCGCCGATCTACTTCACTCCTCGTGAGCTGGTGATCAGGCATAGAGAGCAAGCAAATCAACCCGCACCTCAGGCTCGTGGGTTCTTCGTGTAGGTTTGCCATCTTCATCCAGGAAGTGAAATTGGTCCACGATGAACATCCCCAGCGTGACGAGGGTACATTGTCCACCTTCGTTGCTGGTGGACATGGTCGTTCTTAGAGACGTCTATTGATATCATTGTCACAGCCACTGGGTTGTATCTGCAAGTTGCTAATTTGCGAGAATTTTGGGAAAGTGATATAATCATCGCAGCCCCTTACAAGTACAAGTGCAAACAAAAATCAAACAAAAAGAAATCAAGACCAAAAAAGAGAAACGTATTACAGGGGTTATCTCCGCGCTTTCCCCTTCCCGCCAACACCTCCAAACATCTTTCGCCTACTCTTGCTGGCCTTATCGAACCCCTTGGCTTTCTTCCATTGCTCCTTCCTGTTGTCCCGCTTCCCATGTGTCGAGATCTTCTCCTCCTTCAGGCCCTCCATGGCGGTGTCTTCTGTCGTCTCCGCAGGGTGCCCAAGCTCTGAGAATACAGAGAAAGGGTTAGCACAGTCCTTTATCTCACCAGAGAAAAGAGGAAAGCTATCCTCAACGAGACGGCACGCCCTAGTAGGGTGACTGTGCATCCTCAAATAGCCAACCTAGCTGTGCATCCCACGGTGTCTCTCTGAGCGTGCGGACACCCTCTACTCCCATCTCTTCAGGGTTTAACAGCCCAAGGCAAGTATAAGCCCAATGCTTTGCCTCGGGGGTTAGGTACCCGCCATCCCAGACCGAACTCTCAGAGGAGGGTGTAGGAGAAGGAGATAGAGAGGAAGAGGAAAAAGGGGGTGACCAACCTGGTACTTCCTCCGGCTCGTCACCATCCTCTCCTTCGACATCGGTCTGAATCTTGTCTGCGAGCTTGCGGTGTAGTCGCTCGACTCGTGCGGCGTGCGTTGCAGCGTAAACCGAGTCTTCGCGCTTTGCTCGGCGGAAGGAGCGCTTTACTTTTGAGCGGAGTCCTTTGGCCATTTTCGCTGGTATGTGTTCGTTCGAGGTGTGGTAGTGAATTGCAGAATTTGCCGGAATATGGACGGTATAATGCGATATATGTGTACGATAGATGCTCTCTACTCAATAATGCTTGCTAATATCGTGGGCGAAAGGGTGTTTGCGGAGGTCGTGGTCGCAGATCTGAAAAGTGGAAGATGACTACGCTGGTTCCACAGCCAAAATTTCGCAGCAGTGGCTGCGCAAATACTCGAATCCCGGAGCCGATAATAATCCGTCCCCAGGTGACGTTATCGGAGACCCGTCGGTCGTGTGTCCTCTGCGCCCTGAAGAATCCAGCACTTTCCAATGCCCTAGCTTACTCTGACTCCTCTTCCTGCACTTCTGTTATCCTACATCGTCTCTCTCTCCCTTGTACAGCACGAAGATGGCAGCCGAGCATCACCCACATACTGAGCCTCTCAGTACAGAGCAGTATCGGGCTTCGCGGCCTAACATCTGCGGGCCGGACTCTGGTCCTGAGGAACCGTTTCCTATCGTGATGTACGGGCTTGTGCAGCCGGGATTTGGCAGAGGGTCGAAGGAGCTAGGATGCCCAACAGGTGAGCGTTATCCTATTTCCTGGCCTCGTCTTTTCAGAAGATGGTTGGACCGAGGTCTCCTCAGTGTGGAATGCTCACTCTGCCTAGCTAATCTTCCAGATGACGCAATCGAGCTCATGGCCTCCAAATGCCAGCACGGGATCTACTACGGCTACGCGCGCGTGCACCAGCCGCCACACGGAAAGCCCGGAGACCTAGAAGAGACAGAGATCGAAGTGTACCCTATGGTCATGAGCCTGGGAAACAACCCGTACTACAACAATGAGAAGATGACTGCTGTGCGTGCCTTTACTAGAGAGCTGCTGCTGCGCGGCTGGAGTATATGCTCTGTGGGATGCTGATTCTGTATGACAGGAAGTGCATGTGATACACGAATTTGAACATGATTTCTACGGGCACGAAATATCTGTTCTCGTGCTCGGATACATCAGGCCAGAGCTGGATTACACCTCACGTGGTATGTCTTCCCCTCTTCTCTCTTTCCCTCCTGCGTACTGACACCAACCCAGATGCACTCAAAGAAGATATCGCTACCGACATCCGAGTAACACTGAACTCCGTCGCCCGTCCGACGTATAACAAGTACAGGGAGGACGCTCACTGGACTCGAGCCCAGATCCGATGATGGAGCTCTCATCGCAAGCTTTGAGGGTCAACTTGGATGGAAGGAAGTGGTTGGGCGACCGATGCGTGACGTACGAGAGGAGAAGATGTATCAATTAGCTGATATCTGATAGACCGGTGATTGCAACCTAGAGGGCAAGCATCCATCTTACCCAACCCAAATAAGTAGCAAATGTTGCCGTGTGCTCGGTCATCGAATATCCCCATAAAATCTCTGCACATCACACCTGCAGATGCTCGCATTGTGTTGCGTTGCTGAGGTAGGCGGGGGAAATCATAACCGTGGTACGAACCGCCTGAAACGGAACCACCACATCGCTACTCCTGCTAAGAGACCACCGACATGCCCCGCATTATCGATTCCTCCCACGCCCACTTTACCACGTCCCTGCATGTCGTCAGCACACGCCTTCATAAGAGTACGGGGAATGCGGAGAGCGGAAGAGGGGGAAGATGTCTGTGGTTGGAGACTTACCTGATAGAACATGCATCCCAGTTCATAGAGGAATACCCCGCCCATACAGGCCCATGCCGGGAGGGGGATGATCCCGAACAAAGCGAACTGCGCGGTGGGGAAGACACACGCATACAGGGAGAGCGCGGCGTACGTCGCCCCGCTCGCGCCTACGGATTGGCCAGGCTTGTTCCCCCGCCAGTAGATAGAGACGAGGGAGGAGATTGCTCCTCCTACGAGGTAGACGCCGAGGAATGGGGAAACGCCGAACGTCGCTATGAGTGTCGGACCGGAGAGATAGAGGATAAGGCAGTTGACGCCGAGATGCATCGTGGAGATTTGAGAGAAGGAAGTCGTTAGCAGCGTCCACCTGTCGTGCGGTGGTCTGCGTAGCTGCTAACGCGCGAAGGGAGGGACTTACCAGCGCCCTCTTTGCCAGTTATCCCACGAACTCATAAAGTTCCTCATCATAAACTGAAGTAACTTCTGGTCGTTAAACCTTTGCTACTCCGAGTTCAGCTTCCCGCGGCGAATGCATATGTTCAAGGTGAAGACCCACCGCGTTCGTGATAGCGACATTCCATTGGATCCAGACTGCGACGTTGATACCTATGATGATCCAGATGATCCAGCTCGGGGGGACGGCGTCCACCTGTCGGCGGAAACGGGTCCACCAGGTCTTTTGCGGTGGGGATGGGGGACGGGAGCGGGGGAAGGGGGCAGGCGAGGGTGATCGGGCTCCACGAGGTGCGGATCGTTGGAACGGAGCAAAGGAGGGGAAGACACGGAGTACGCGGGAGGTTGAGATAGGTGAGGGCGTTGCACCTGTGGGTGAGGTAAGGGAGCGTGTGAGGGTGAGGGTGTGTAGTCGGTACGCTCGTGTGAGGATAGGCGACGTCCGAGCTGCTGGACGCCATGCCGGTGCTAGAGTGGACAACGCTGTTCTTCCCAGTATACTCGGTGCCCGTCGACAGCATATAGCGATAAGGACGTTCATGTTGCCTGCACTGGCGTCGAGGACGATGAGGACGCGCAGGAGACGGTACGTAATGAGGGAAATTGGAGGGTCGGCGTTAAGGGACGCTTGAACGCTCAGCGCTGTATACTCCTTTTGTCCGATTACAGTAACATTGATGAACATCCTTGGGTAAAATGATAACAGTTTACTTTGTGTGTCGTGTGCGTTGACCAATCGCATAATGGTAGTTTAATTGTTTGTTATTTAAGAGTTGTTTTTATACCATATGTATTATTGACTGACTGGCTGAAAGGAGAAAGACGTCATGAGAACAGTGTTCTTACCTCTTCTTCTCATTCAACGTCATATAAGAACACCTGCTCATCGTCACATTATATATCCAACCCAAACAGGTCAGTAAAGGTAAAAATGATATATCCATTTCATCTTAGTCGGCATTGGTCGGGCTGAACATGGGCCGGTGTCAGTCATTGGTTGAGCCCTGAACCGCATCTGACTCCCGAGTCGCACTGTCCTCCACCTTGAACCACCGCTCTTGCCGGCCATGTCGCCCCGAGTCTCCACCTCGACAGCCAGGGAGGTCGCTGTCAGCCAGCACACTCTCCCGCCCGCAGTCTATCTCTTTTATATCTACCAAGACGATCTCACAGATTTGCACCTTTTGACTTGCGCTCTCCCTGTCTCCTCCAAAGACTGACAATGTCCAAACCAACGATTGGATTCATCGGCCTGGGTGCTATGGGCTTCGGCATGGCGACTCATCTCGTCTCCCTAGGCCACCCTGTAACTGGATTCGACGTCTGGCCGCCCACGCTTGAGCGGTTCAAAGCGGCAGGAGGGGCGGTGGCCACCACCCCAGCTGACGCGGTGCGCGAATGCGCGTTCTGCATTTGCATGGTCGCGAGTGCCCCACAGGCGCAGAGCGCGCTGTTCGACGGTGATGCAGCAGCGATCAAAGGTATGTTCCTCTCCCTCTCGAGCGTCATTATACTAATCCCGCTGCAATAGCCCTCCCTAAAGGAGCCGCCCTCCTCCTGGCTTCCACCGTCTCCTCAGCATACGCGACCTCAGTCGCCTCCCAACTTGTCGACCTCAACCGCGCCGACGTGCAATTCATTGACTGTCCCGTCTCCGGCGGCACAGCACGCGCAGCTTCAGGCGAGCTGACTATCATGGCCGGTGGCACCTCCTCCGCCCTCGCACACGGGCACGAGCTCCTGCTCGAACTGACCGCGCCTGACAAGCTCTTCATCGTCGAAGGCGGCGTTGGTGCAGGAAGCAATATGAAGATGGTGCATCAGGTGCTTGCGGGAGTACACGTTACAGCTGCATGCGAGGCGCTTGGGTTTGCAGCTAGGCTCGGGCTGGACCCGGTCAAGGTGTATGAGACTGTGGTGGGGAAAGGACAGGAGGTGGATGGCTGGAGCTGGATGTTCGAGAATAGGATGCAGAGGGCGCTCAAGGAGGAGTACAAACCCGCTGCGAGCGCACTTACTATCCTGCTTAAGGATCTGGTGCGTTTCCTGCTCAGTTCGACACTCCGTTTCACAGGGCTAATATATGCGCATAGGGAATCATCACCTCCACCGGCCGGCTGACGCAGTTCCCCACCCCTCTCTCCTCCGTCACTGAACAGCTCTTTCTATCCGGCGTCTCCCTCGGCTGGGGACCAGACGACGACAGCTCCATGGTGCGGATGTACTTCCCCATACCGCTCTCCTCTGTCCAGTCCTCCAACTCGAGCCTCTCCGAGGTGCAGCGCACCCAGCTCGTGCTCGACCTCCTCAGCTCTATCCACCTGTGCGGCGCTGCTGAAGCGCTGGCATTCACGAGCCACCTCAAGCTGGATATGCAGCAGTATTTCACCCTCTGTGCCGATGCGGCCGGTGCGAGCTGGAGCTTCCGCACCCATGGCCCGGAGATGATCGCCCTCCTTTCTGCTACTTCCGCGCCTGCTGCAAGCACGGCCGTGTCGAAGCTTACGCTGGAGAAGAGGATCGAGCGGCTGGAATGGGTGCTGGTGGAGGCAAAGAATGTGGGATGCCCCCTCTACATGGGAGGGGAGGCGATGAGCCAGCTGAGCTTGGCGAGGCGGCGCCTGGGAGGGGAGGTCGATGAGGTCAAAGGCATTATCGATGGGTTTTGGGGAACTAAGTAGGAGGGTGATATGTGATTCTCCGGAAAAGAAAGCAATAGATACATATGCAAGACATTGGACTGGAAGATGGAGTTGCGACGGAAGTGGATTGCTGTCTCGCCCACTCGGTGCGACGCTGCTGGTCGTCGGCCCGGTTCGAAATGTATGCATTGTTAACCTATTGTTGTACCCTGAGTGTAACAATATTAATGTCGAATGACGCAATAATGTCCATCAAGCTTCTGCTGTCTATTGTGGAAGGGAATGACGCTTTATGTTTGTCACCTTCCTAACCAGTCCACACCATTTACATGTCGCAAAGTAATTCACGCTCTTTACGCAGAACAGCAGCGCGAACGGGTGGAAGACCTCTTTCGTGCTCCACGAGCTGGGTCTGTCCTACTCTCCCGTCTACCTCAGTCTATCCACCGACGTCAAGCAGCCCTAGTACACGGCATACAACCCCAACGGGCGCACGCCGTGTATCGTCGACGATGGGAATGACGACCTCGTCCTCTGGGAGTCGGATGCGATCTGCCTCTATCTGGTGGAGAGGTACGATAAAGAACACAGGATCTCTGCTGAAGGGGAGACGGACCGGTTCCTCCAGATGCAGTGGCTATTTTTCCAGGCGTCGGGACAGGGGCCGTATTTCGGACAGGCGGTGTGGTTCACACTTTTCCATCATGGAGATGTTCCGGGCGCGAGGGAGAGGTACCGGAACGAGGTCCTGCGGGTGTTGGGCGTATTGGAGAGTGTGCTGAGCACAAGAGAATGGTTCGTCATCCAACGTTGATATCGCACGGTCTGATGCCTCTGACCCGACTGGCTCGATCCAGGCTTGTGGCGAACAAGTGTACAATCGCCGACATCTCGTTCGTCCCATGGAACATCATCATGTCGACGGTAATCTTCCCGCCAGGCGAGTTCGACTTTCCGGAAAGGTTTCCATCGGTGTACAAGTGAGTGCCAGCACATTAGTCGCTACCGCGTATTAAGCTTGAGGAGATGGCACACAGCCATGATGAATCGTCCGGCCATCAAGGAGGTAGCGACGATCCAGACGGCGTTAAGGGAGAAAGAGGAAATGAATACATAGATGCGCGCTGTTCGTTAGAACAAGCAGGTTGCTGTGCGAACATCAGAGGCGTTGACTGGGCGCAGGTGCTAGTAGCCGGTGGAGAAGCGCCCATCGTTCTCGTCACCATCAATCGGTTTCCATAAAAGGATTGTTCAACAGTGCTGAATCATAGTTGGAGGAGTCAAAAGTGCATTCGCTGAATGCGTCGGGATACGCAATCGGCGTCATAATTCGTTCGGCTCCGGCATGATCCGGCCCGATCATCATGATGTCAGACCAATTAGCGAGTCGCTCCCGAAGTCCGTCCATACCGTACCTGTGGTTCACCGCAGAGGAGAGCTTAATATAATGACTGTGCGACTGCAGCGTATCTTCGTTGGCCCACATAATGTCCCCCCACAAGCACATCACGCTCTACACCAGTCCATTCTCGCCGAACGGTTGGAAGGTCGCGCTGGTCCTCGAGGAACTCGGTCTCAAATACGACAGCGTCTACCTAGATCTATTTAAGGAAGAACAGCTGGCACCGGAGTTTACGAAGCTCAATCCCAATCAGAAAGTTCCGGTCCTTATCGACCATTTGAACGACGACTTTGTTCTGTTCGAATCCAATGCAATCATTCTCTATCTGGTTGAGCAGTACGATCCGGACTACAAGATTTCGGCGCGAGGAAAGGAGAAGCAGCTCGTATCACAATGGCTATTTTCGCAAGCTTCCGGACAAGGACCCTCCTGTTGGCAACTCTTCTACTTCCATCAGTGTAGTCCAGAGAAGGACCTGAAGGCGCAGGAACGTTATAAAGATGAGATCCTACGTGTTCTGAGCGTGTTGAACAATGTGCTCAGCAAGCAAGCATGGTGAGCCCAATCGAGCGGCAAGAAGAGTTCCGCTGAACCGTTGTCCAATAGGCTCGTAGGAGGGCGGATGACCATCGCCGACATATCATTTGTACCGTGGAACATTGTGGCGTTCTCCTCCCTTGCTGCTCTTGGGGTTAAGGTACAAGATGAATTCCGTTCAGTGTACAGGTATGGAAGAATTAGATGCCAATGTAAACCAGCTGACACATGAAAGATGGCACACTGCGTTAACAGCACGCCCGGCTGTTAAGAAAGTCCTCGAGATCACCGCCACGCTGCAGAAGCCTTGATGCGTCGGAATAGGGATGATGTCTATATGGTAATACTTCGTATATATGTATTGTAATGTACAGTTGGAGCTTCCCGATATTATGATGTACTTGGTTTACGAAAGAGGCGTGTGCACGTGACATTTGATGCTTCCTGCCCGGAGGGTTCTATGGAAGCAATTCACATTCCGGCATGACGGAATCGATACTCGGCTCAGTTTTTGTTTTGGACCGAGACATAGATCTTATCCTCCAAATTTCGTCCATGCTTTGCAACCAATCCCCAACATCCTCAAAATTCGTCAGCAATGCTCTAAAAACTACTTCTTAGCACCTGGACATCCTCTTTCTTTTTCTCATGGCTAGGACTATGATCTCTTGGTAGCCCGCTTCTGGTCTATTGTCTTGATGTGATCGTCCGACTTGCCGTGGGCATCGTTCGGGTTTCCAATGAAACTGCAATCTCTCTCGTGGAAATGGGCTCTGTACGATTTGCAGTGATTACGAAGCTGTTTTTCCTGACAAAGCTTGTTGGACTCTGACACCACCACTGGTTTCCCTGGGAGCGGAAGATCAGTCTGTCGTCTAAGGAGGCGCGCGGGTCTTTGACAAAGCTACAACCCCTTAGTAAGAGGATCTGTCCACGATCACTAGCTATTCATGTAACTGGCATGTTCACGTCGTCAGCGTATAAATGGGAACGCCAGCGGACGCTCATTAGCTTTCCAGGACCCACGGATATCCCTTCGCTCTCCACATCCTCAGATCGTCTCTCTCAACATCATGTCTCACGGCAAGCAGTTCACCCTCTATACCCACGCGGCTGGTCCCAACGGCTGGAAGGTTGCATATCTCCTAGTTGAGCTCGGCCTCACCTATGAGCCGGTCTTCTTTGACTTCGCTAAGAAGGACCAGAAGAGCCCCGAGTACCTCAAGCTAAACCCGAACGGTCGCATTCCCGCAATCATCGATCACGGGAACAATGACTTCGTGCTCTGGGAGTCGAATGCTATTCTCCTCTACATTGTTGAGAAGTACGACAAGGAACATAAGTTCTCGGCCGTGACGGACGCCGATAAGGCGTACCAGAACCAGTGGCTCTCCTTTCAGGCATCGGGACAGGGCCCGTACTTTGGCCAGTTCACCTGGTTCCACTTTTATCATCCGGAGAAGGTGTCCAGTGCGGAGGAGAGGTATAAGGGCGAAACCGAACGTGTTTTCGGTGTTCTGGACGCTGTGCTCAGCAAGCAGGAATGGTCTGTCACGTTGCCTAGCCGGCTCGAACATGGATTCGATCATTCTACAGGCTTGTTGCTGGCAAGATGACCATCTCGGACATGTCATTCATCTCGTGGAATCTCGTTGCCTTCCAGGTAATCCTTGGTGACGACTATCCGTTCGCAGAGAAGTTCCCTGCTGTGTACAAGTACGTTCCACTTCATCCACACCATAGAATGTGCCCTGAATCATGCGCTAGGTGGCACAACGCTATGGCAGAACGCCCAGCTATCAAGGCGTGCATAGAGCAGCGGGCGTCCATGATGAGTCACTAGAAGGAAGAGGGCCCATGTATCTCGGAGATCAATACCAGTTCGACATGTGATTTGCGGGTGTTGTACTCGACAGCTCCCACTCACCAAAGCTGGGAACTTAACTTACGCCACGCAAGTCCTTGTGGCACTTTGATGACGTGCCTCCGGTACCTGCCAGAGGACTCCAGAGTTCCTGCATTGAACCCTGTGCTTCGTGTGATCAGAACATTGGATGGTTCCTGCCGGAAGGGTTTCATGTGAGCAATCTCATTTCGGCATAACCCAATTGATGCTCGGCTTTCACCGGCCCAGGTTTTTTCTTGGATGAATATTCCAAAATTCGTCCATGCTTTGCACCGAATCCCCAACATCATCAAAATCCGTCAGCAGTGCTCTAAATACGACTGCTTAGCACCAGCATAACACGTACTCTCTGATGACTCGGACTGCGATGATCCCCTTGGCAATCAGGTGTTGGACCATTGTCTTGATGTTCATCGCCCGACCTGCCCGCGGCATTGTTCGGGTTTTGAACCGGCTGTCCCGTCGGACGTTCTGCCAATGGCCCTGTCTGATTTCTACTGATTACGAAGCTGTCTTTTCTGGCAAAGTTGGGCTGCGTCTGACACCACCACTGGCTTCGCTGGAAGCGGAAGGTCAGTTTGTTCTCAAGAGATGCGCCCAGGCTGGTCAACAAAACTGCAATCCCAGAACGAGCTGCTCTACTAACTCACGATTCCAGGTTAGCAACGTAACTGGCATGTATAAAGGGGAACGCTAGCGAACGCTCATTAGCCTGCCAGTACTCACGGATATCTCTTCGCTCTCCACAACCTCAGATCGTCTCTCTCTACATCATGTCCCACGGCAAGCAGTTCACCCTCTACACCCACGTTCGCGGTCCCAATGGCTGGAAGGTCGCCTATCTCCTGGCTGATCTCGGGCTCACGTACGAATCTGTCTTCTTTGACTTCGCCAAGAAGGACCAGAAGAGCCCCGAGTTCCTCAAGTTGAACCCGAACGGTCGCATTCCTGCAATCATCGACCACGCAAACAACGACTTCGTGCTCTGGGAGTCGAATGCCATTCTCCTCTACATCGTCGAGAAGTACGACAAGGAGCACAAGTTCTCGGCCGTGACCGACGCCGATAAGGCGTACCAGGACCAGTGGCTCTTCTACCAGGCTTCGGGACAGGGTCCATACTTTGGCCAGTCCTTCTGGTTCCAATTCTATCACCAGGAGAAAGTGCCCAGTGCCATAGAGGTATAAGGGAGAGACGGAGCGTATTCTCGGTGTTCTGGAAGTTGTGCTCAGCAAGCAGGAATGGTTAGACACGTTGCTCTGCCCACCTCGGACACGAATTTGACCATTCTACAGGCTTGTTGCTGGCAAGATGACCATCTCCGATATCTCATTCATCCCATGGAACCACGGCGCCTTTACGGCAATCCTTGTTGACGACTATCCGATCGCGGAGAAGTTCCCCGCTGTGTACAAGTGAGTTCTGCTTGGCCTGCACCGCCGAACGCAGGCTGAATAATCTGTTAGGTGGCACAACGCCATGGTGGAACGCCCCGCTATCAAGGCATTGCTAGAGCAGCGGGCGTCCATGATGAGTCAGTAGAAGGAAGTGGGCACAGGTGTACCAGCGAGGCAAATAAAAGAATGACCAGTTTCACACGTGAATAGCGGGTGTCAATCAGTGGATGATCCCCGAGTTCTTGCATTGAACCCTGTGCTGCTTCTTCGTGTGATAACATCTGCCGGAAGGGATTTATGTAAGCAATCCACTGACGCCATCGATGGTCGGCTTCAACGGCCCGGGCTTTTCTTTCACCGAGACATGGCCCAAAATCCGTCCTTGCTTTGCACGCAATCTCCACCATCATCAAAATTCGTCAACAGTCCTCTAAATACGACCTAGCACCAGCTTACGCTCTGATGAGTCGGACTGCGATCCCCTTGGCAATCGGCTGTTGGACATTGTCTTGATGTTGATTGTCCGACCTGCCGAGGCATTGTTCGGGTTTCCGACGGTGGAACCTGCAATCTGTCCCGTCGAACCTTCTGGCAACGACCCTGCCTGATTTGTATTGATTACAGAGCTGTCTTGCCTGACAAAGTTGGGTTGAGTCTGACACCACCACTGGCTTCGCTGGAAGCGGAAGATCAGTTTGTCCTCAAGGGATGCGCCCGGGTCTTTCAACAAAACTGCAACACCCGAACGAGCTGATCTATTTATTCATGCTCCCTGGCTAGCAAAGTAGCTGGCATGTCCACGTCGTCAGTGTAAATGGGAATGCCAGCGGACGCTCATTAGCTTTCCAGTACCCACGGATATCCCTTCCCTCCCCACAACCTCAGATCGTCTCTTTCTACATCATGTCCCACGGCGAGCAGTTCACCCTCTATACCCACGTTGGTGGTCCCAACGGCTGGAAGGTCGCCTATCTCCTGGCTGAGCTCAGGCTTACTTATGAGTCGGTCTTCTTTGACTTCGCCAAGAAGGACCAGAAGAGCCCCGAGTTCCTCAAGCTGAACCCGAACGGTCGCATTCCCGCAATCATCGATCACGGGAACAATGACTTCGTGCTTTGGGAGTCGAACGCCATCCTCCTCTACATTGTCGAGAAGTACGACAAGGAGCACAAGTTCTCGGCTGTGACCGACGCCGATAAAGCGTACCAGAACCAGTGGCTCTTCTTCCAGGCATCAGGGCAGGGACCGTATTTTGGCCAGTTCTTCTGGTTCCAATTCTATCACCAGGAGAAGGTGCCCAGTGCGGTGGAGAGGTATAAGGGTGAGACGGAACGTGTTCTCGGTGTTCTAGAATCTGTGCTCAGCAAGCAGGAATGGTAAGTCACTCGCATAAGCTACCTCGGACATCAGTTTGATCATTACACAGGCTTGTTGCTGGCAAGATGACCATCTCCGATATCTCTTTCATCTCATGGAACAACGGCGCCTTCAAGGCAATCCTTGGCGATGACTATCCGATTGCGGAGAAGTACCCCGCTGTGTATAAGTGAGCTCTGCTGTAGTCGGCACCGACAAACACAGGTTGAATGACTTTTTAGGTGGCACAACGCCATGACGGAACGCCCCGCTATCAAGGCATGCATAGAGCAGCGGACGTCCATGATGAGTCACTAGAAGGAAGTGGGCAGCGGTGTACCAGAGAGATAAATAAATGAATGACCAATTTCACACGTGAGTCGCGGGTGTCAATCAGTGGATGGTCCCCATCCGGCCATATCGCCCAACAACCGCCAATTGCCATCATCGAGAGGAAGATTGAAAGCCGATTCTATTTCCCTGATGAGTGCCTAAACCAAAAGTAACTTCCGTACTTCTAGCCCATCCCATGGTGGGAAGGACGATTGCCCTAGATGCTCTGCATCTCCCGCCGTCCCATAACCCCATTATCCCACCCAATGTTCTAACTGCTCATAACAGCCAAACAGCTCTCCAGCACATCCATCGCATGTTCCACATCCTTCAGTGCGATATTCAAACTGGGGACAAACCTGACCGCGTCCTTCCCAGCTGAGAGGAAGAGTACTCCCCTCTCCCGAGCCATCTTCACCAGCTTGGCCGCATCTTCAGGCTTGTGGAAACCTACACCGCGGATGGCACCCCGCCCTCGGACGGAGGAGACTACTGAGGGGAAGTAGCCGGCAAGGGAGGAGAGACGCGTGTCTAGGGTCGTTGTGACGAGGGCGAGGTGCTCGAGAAACGAGGGTGTGGATAGACGAGTGAGAACGTAGTGCGCTAAGCGGGCGGCAAGGACGTTCCCGCCAAAGGTTGTTCCGTGTGACTGGAGAGGGCATCATGCGTTAGCGTCGAAAGGATGAACAGGTACGTAAGGAACATACCCCGACGGTGACGGCCTTTGCGATTTCATCCTTGACAAGAATTGCCCCGATGGGGTAACCATTGCCGAGGGCTTTAGCCATGGTGATTACGTTTGGGTGCGCGGTGGTGGGGTAGCGCGAATGGGCCCACATCGTGCCAGTCCGGTAGAGGCCACACTATCCCACAATGTCAGTATATGACCCAAACACAGCAAGTAACACGGTGGAAGAAGTCACTGAAAACACAAGCCACACACCTGAATCTCGTCATAGATCAATACCGCGCCAACCTCGTCACATCTCTTCCTGATAGCTTTCAACCAGGCAATATCGCATTCAAATATGCCTCCCTCTCCCTGGATTGGCTCTAGGATAACTCCACAATGATCCTCCGTGATAAACTTCACCGAGCTCATATCGTTCAGCTTGCCCATGTCGAACCCAGGTACAAGGGGTCCGAACGGCTTCTGGTACTTCGGGTTAGTGGTAGCGCTGAGCGCACCCATAGACCGGCCGTGGAAGGCGTTCTCGAAGCACAAGAACCGGGTCTTAGTGCTCTCTTCCCAGGGCTTGCCCGTCTTGCGCGCCCACAGCTCCTTCCCATATTTTCGGGCGAACTTGAGTGCGCCTTCGTTCGCCTCTGTACCGGAGTTGCTGATGAACACTTTTGCGCCTGTCGGAGAAGGGGCAGGTAGGTCCTCAGGCTCGGGCTCGGTGTATGTCCGAGAGAACAGGTGCGGTCCGCTGTCTCGCTGGTAAAAGGTGTACGAGTCGTCTGGTGCGTACCCGAGCCCGCCTTCCTTCCGCGTCAACCCCACTAAGAGACTAGCGAGTTCCCCAACCCACTCGTTCCAGTAGACGTTGCTTGCGTGCGCAAGGCTCCCCACTTGGTCCGCCATCACCTGGATGAAACCTGAATCCGAATGGCCAAGGGCATTCACAGCGATTCCAGCGGAGAAGTCGAGGTACTCGCGCGTAGGGTGGGAGGTGAAGAGGTGCGATCCTCGTCCAGAGGTGAAGATGAGAGGTGGACGGGCATAGGTATTCGCTGTGCAGGACTCGAGTCGGTGAAGTTGGCGCTGGATTGCTGGGTCGAGCGAAGCAGGATCCTCAGGGTGGGTGACGTCGGTGTATTTCGTGCAGGGCTAGGACAGTGTAAGATGGTAATAAGAGGAAGGATTAGGTGTATGCGTACTCCAGACGAGGAGGAGGATGCGCGCACAGAGAGGCGTGCGAGGGTAGATGTGAGCGCTCGAGAGCGATAGGCAGCGAGTGCAGACTGCCTGTACATCCTGAGCTGTGTGATCCTAGGAATAGATAACGACCCAGAGCAATCTTGGTCGCCTTTTATGTTGTCAAGAAGAGCAGAAGGAGGAGATTGTGGTCGACGACGGACGAGTGAAGTACTCGCTGTCTGTCAGTGATGTACCGTTCACCGTCCAATCCCGTTTCAATTGTTGGCGGTTCAGCGGACATCAATAAATATTCCTTTTCAGGTAACCCTCCCTGACACATCTCCGGCTTCGGCTCCGAAGAGTGAGTCAGATCGTGTGCCGTGTTTACATAAGAAGGATGCCGAAGAAGGAAAGAAGAGGGCGCGTTGGTTGCCAAGAATGGATGTGTGTGGGGGAGGGATGTGTCGCCGAGGAAGCTGCCGACCTCCAAGCCTGTCCGACAACTAGCGCATAAGCTAAAGGTCAACCTCCCCCTTTCCTGCGCTACGCCTCTGGTTTCTCCCTTACCACCAACCAGCTCATCGAACGATGTCCGACACCGAGACTGATCATTCTCATAAGCATGGGCACTCCCACTTCAGGCAACGTCTGGAGCACGACCTTGGACAGGCGCGTCTGCGTACTGCCAACAAGGTCAATATTGTCTCCAAGATCGCACACCATGCGATCCAGGAGATAAAGGGAAAGTGGTGCGCTACCCTCCCATCCGCTCTCTAAACCATCATGAATCTCACGGGTCACGCGTAGGAACCCGAACCACAGACACGACGAGGACTGGGAGAAGGAAGACGATAGAATCAGGGATGAAATTCGTGCCCAGCATCGATTCCGCTCATTCGCGGTCGATAGATGGCATAACAGCGTCAAGTGGTGCGTGCATCCCACGCCAGCCACGTCGTACCGAACGCGATTGACACGGTACATAGGCACATCGACGGTCATGACTACTTCTATGCCCTCTCGGAGCTGCTGGACAGCGCCCGCTCCCACATCTTCATCCTAGACTGGTGGCTCTCACCCGAACTCTACCTCCGGCGTCCTCCTGCTGCGCACCCGGAATGGAGACTCGACCGTCTCCTAGCACGCAAGGCGGCCGAAGGCGTGCGCATATACGTTGTCGTGTACAAAGAGGTGACGCAGACGATGAGCATGAGCTCGAGTCATACGAAGCACGCGCTCGAGGATCTGCACGAGAACATCGCGGTCATGAGACATCCGGACCATATTGGCACTGTGGATGATATCGAGTTCTGGAGTCACCATGAGAAGGTCGTTGTGGTGGATAACTTGAGGGCGGCGGTGGGAGGGCTAGATGCCTGCTTTGGGAGATGGGATACTCATAACCAGTATGTGCCCATCATTGCCCGCATATATGAGCTCAACTGGCTTCCCTCGCAGCCCGATGGCCGACATACACCCCACCGCGTCCGCACACACCCTCTTCCCAGGACAAGACTACAACAACGCCCGGATACTCGACTTCCAGTCCGTCCAACAGTACACCTCCAACTTCGTCTCCCTGCTCACCACGCCCCGTATGCCATGGCACGACGTGCACCTGACCTTCTCCGGCCCGGCAGTGCTCGACGTTGTCCAGCATTTCGTCGAGCGGTGGAACGAGATTCGCCACCGGAAGTACCATCATGATCATCGATATGACATCCTCGCCTTTCCCCATACGCCGGAAGACGGTCCGAACGAGCCTATCGTCCGTCATCCGCATCGGGAGGCGTTCCATGAACTGGGAAGGAAGTTCAAGCAGCGCTGGCTGGGTCCCGAAGCGCCGCCCGATAATGTGGACGGGCACTCGCCGGTCGGGACGTGTAGGATGCAGGTTGGGAGGAGCGTGAGTGATTGGAGCCATGGTGTGCTTACGGAGCATAGCATACAGAATGCTTGTGGGTTGCCCTTTTCTCGCCAAGGCGCAACGGGTCTGATGTTATATATGTGTAGACATCCAACTTATCCAAGAGGCGAATCATTTTATCTACATTGGTGAGCAACTGTCATCCTATCTCCTTCCTTCCGCTAAACAGGGATATCAGAGAACCAGTTCTTGTGCGTTGAAGGAGCCTCGATTGGACAAACCACTGACTCCTCCCAGCGTCTCGAACACAGTCGAAGAAGGCCCCGTACAGAACCAGATCGCCCGTGCTCTCGTCGACCGCATCGTACTCGCCGCAAAAGCCGGGCGCAAGTTCAAGGTGATGGTCGTCATCCCCGAACTACCCGGTTTTTCGGGAAACATCAACGAGCAATCAGCGCTGAAGAACATCCTTGGTGCCACATACCGTACTATCAACAGGGGCGGTCACTCGATCTATGAGGAGATCCGGAAGGCAGGTTATGATCCGTGAGCTCATTAGCATCCTGCGACGAGCCCAGCATGTTGACAACGAGTGCAAGGATGGAGTATATCCGGTTCTACCACTTGCGCGGGTATGACCGTATCGCAGCGCCCAAGTCTTTCCTCCAGGAGATGGAACAAAAGTCCGGCGTGACATTCCGCGAAGCGCAGGCAGCACTAGCACGTATATGGACGGGCGACTCGCACCCTCCAGAGCTATCGAATGTCACCATCGCTGTACCTAAAGCGGACACTGGGGATACTGCTAACCTAGGGACGACGCAGCAGAATGTAGAGCCCGTGCAGGTGAAAGCACCCAAGACGGTTGAAGAGGCCAGGGAGATCTTGAAGAAATTTGAGAGTGCGGCGCGCATGCCGCTAGAGACGGTCGTCTCGGACTCGGTCGCACAGCATGCGTTGCAGGATAGGACGGAACTGAAAGACGAGAAGTGGCTTGGGACGGAAGAAGAGGAGAAGAGCTGGTGCGTCTCCTTAAGGGCCAAAAAGCTGCATTGTTTGACAAGTCACAGCTATGTCACTGAAGAGGTGTATATCCACTCAAAGCTCATGATCGTCGATGACGTTCGTGTGATTGTATGTTTCCCGTTTGGCATCACTGTCCTACTCTGATGTGGGCCGACCAGATTGGGAGCGCGAACTTCAATGACCGTTCGCAGCGAGGAGACGGTGATTCGGAGATTGCGGTGATCGTAGAGGACACGGATATGTTCAAGTCGACGATGGACGGTCACCCCGTGAGTGATCTTCGTTCTTATGCGAGGTTTTACCAACACCGACCCAGCATATGGTTGCCCGTTTTGCAACCACTCTGCGGCGCAAGCTCTTCCGAGAGCATCTCGGCCTTATCCGACCACAGAACTGTCCTCCGGAAGGGGACGAGCCCGTGACAAGCTTCATGCGGCCAGCGCCTATCCCTCTCGAGAACGAGCTAGGACAGCCCGAAGATGACCTCGTTGCCGACCCTCTTTCAGACGCCTTCCAGCATCTTTGGACGAATACTGCCAAGATCAATCGAGGTGTTTTCACGGAGATCTTCAGAACTGTTCCGAGTGACATGGTGCGGAATTGGGAGGCGTACAAGGTACTTCTCTTATACTTCTCTGATGATCCCGTTGCCAATATATGCGCAGACGTTCGTACCTCAGACCTTGCCTGGTCATGTCGCGCCAGACGTCACGTTAGAACAACTCAAGACGCGACTCTCACGTGAGTTGCTAAGCCAATCCAAAATAAAACTTACTGATATTGTTTTACAGAGGTTCGTGGACACGTGGTCGACTGCCCTCTGGACTTCCTCATTGAGGAGAGCGAACTGATATCCGGGTCTCAATGGAGCAGCTATAACCCCTTGATGGCTCTCTATCTATGAAAACCATGTCTGGTATCATCCTATGCGGCAGTCATCGTATTCGGCAATTCGCTCTCTATTTGAGGTTGATTACACAACAACGAAGATAGATCAACCGTCCGCTGGCATAGGACTCGGACTAATAGCCAGATGAGAGGGACGAGAAATCAGCAGGGACTAGGACTCTGGCGAGGCACTCGACTTCATTAACCTGGGGTTGTGCGTCGCGTTTGAGTTGAGACAATATGTGTATTGTCATGTTTGTGCATTGAAAAACAGTCATGACGTATCCTACACTGGGTCGTCCTCTTCATGACACCTTATCCCAGTGAGACGGTTCTCTCACGATCCACCCCTTTGATCGCAGGGCGAGAAATCATGGCGGTATGCCACCTGGATGCGTTATCAGAGCATAATCAGACAAGTCAGCATCTCTTGTCTTACTTGTACACGGCGGGGAACATCTTCCTCGAATAGTCCAGTCCGAGAATATTGGTGAATGTCTGGTCATTTGCAGCTATGAATGAGATGTCGGCGATAGTAATCTTGCCACCAACAAGCCTAATGGTGTTTCAGAATGTTCTCCTTGGACATGGCAAAGAAGAGGACTAACCACTCCTGCTTGCTGAGGACACTTTCAAGCACACCCATAATATGTTCCGTTTCTTTCTTATATCTTTCAATAGCTTGAGGCACCTTTTCGTCTGGTGTATATTTAGCGAACCAAGCCCATTGTCCGGTGTAGGCGTCATGACCAGAAGCCTGGAATAACAGCCACTGGTCCTGTATTGCCTGATCGACATTTGTATCGGCCGACAGACGATGCTCTTTGTCGTATTGATCAACCAGATACATCAGTATTGCGTTCGATTCCCACAGCGAAAAGTCGTTATTTCCATGGTCTATGAGAGCAGGGATGCGACCATTAGGATTGAGCTTCAAGAACTCGGGCGTCCTGTGCTCGTTCTTGAAGTAATCGAGGAAAATCATTTCGTACGTGAGCCCCAGCTCGCTGAGCACGTGGGCAACCTTCCAACCATTCGTGGTCGGGCCAGGGAAAGCATAGAGCGTAAACTGCTTACCGTGTGACATCGTTCGGCCGGGGAAGAGTGGTTGATATGGGTGTGGGTCGTGGGGTGAGTTGAGAGGTTGGAATCTCGATGGTGAGACACTTCTCTCGCACTCCGAATCATCCCGGTCAAGGCTCTCGAGATGTCATATACACATCGCACTGCCCATATACTGGTGTCACAAAGGTTGGGCCGGACCGCATCCACGTGACATCATGTAGAATCACATACATACGCGGTACAAAAGCTATCAACCGTTGTATTGTTGGGAGGAAGGGTTATTTATTCCCCTGTTCGAGGGGATTCATACGACGGTCACGCCGACTTCAGCAGCTCGGCTCTCTTCTCCATGTTCGTTTTGACGGCGGGATGAGACATCATAGCGGTATGCCATCTAATGGATTGTAGGATCTGCAAGTGACTATATGGGAAACGACTTACTTGAACATAGCAGGAAAAGTTTCTCCGAGAGGGTAATCGGGACCCAGAATCCTGTGGAACGCAAGATCATTCCATGGGATAAATGAGATATCCGCAATGGTCATTTTGTCACCAACAAGCCTGTCGCAGGTGGTGAGCACTCCAAATGTCTTCACGAGCATCAGCCTTTACCATTTCTGCCCGGTGAGAACTGTGTCGAGCACAGAAAGAACACGCTCCGTTTCCTTCTTGTACCTCTCGATTGCGAGAGGGATTTTCTCAGGCGCAGATACGAACCAAGCCCACTGTCCGTAGTAAGGGCCTTGTCCGGAAGCCTGGAAGAAAAGCCACTGGTCTTGCAGTGCCTTGTCGGCATCTGTGAAGGCCGAAATATTGTGCCCCTTGTCATAACGATGGACCAAGTACAGCAAGATTGCGTTCGACTCCCAGAGAACAAAATCGTTATTCGCGTGGTCGACGAGGGCAGGGATACGGCCGTTGGGGTTGTACTTCACAAACTCGGGCGCCTTGTGTTCCTTCTTGTCGAAATCGAGGTAAATCATCTCATACTCCAGCCCCAGCTCGCTCAGAACAATCGCAACCTTGTATCCATTCACAGCCGTGCGGTGCGCGTAGAGTGTGAACTGCTTTCCGTGGGACATTGCTGTGAGAAGTGTTGATAGTTGCTTCGAGGTAGTTTGCGAACTCGAGTGAAAGTGGGGCGAGGTAATGTCGACCATCGCTATCCGGTATCTTTTATACTCTGAACCGTCCTGTTCTCTGCTATTATTGCCTGGGTGAATGTGTGCGTTCGGCTTGGCACTATCCTCATTTCCAGGCTTGAACGAAGACGTTTGTATGGTTGCGCCGAATCCAGGTTGCACCAGCTGGCAGAACCCCCGAGGCATCGTTTCGTTGGCCATTTACACGCCCGGAAGGTGGAGGCGAAAACTCCGATGATCGGAGATACCTTAGCGTCGATGATGCCAGGCAGGCTGACGGTTACAGAACGGTTTGTCAAATGGAGTGTTTCCGCAGCATGACTCAAGCAGTGAATGGAATGTCCTTTGTCAGCGTAACATGGATGCAGTCCCTAAATTCGCAGGTGCGACGAACAACTCTCCTACATTCAACAATTAATAGTCGCCACCTGGACAATAATCGGACGAACGGATGCATTTGAGACGACTTGTGTGTTAATAGCCCATCTTGGCGAAGTTATCTTCGCTTGCCAAGACCTCCCCACATGCTTATCTCTCGCTCCAGCCCTGTCGCCAGCAAGATCACATCCTTCCCCACAATGCCTCCACCTTTCCCAAAGCCGAAAGGAAGCTCCTCGGTTGCCTTCGCCAGAAGTTCTAGTGACATAGACAATCTGTTGATCCCTGTTGGAAGCGTCAAAGCAAGGTCGGCTGGGAAGGTTGTGCTTTGTAACATGGTCATCGGAGCGGACATCTCGGCCATAAGAAGCTTCGCACTTGTTACATATTGAATCCCTTTGCTAGGGTGTCCATACGGGTAGACGTCTTCCATTCCACTAAGCACTAAAGCCGAGCATGATGCGGCGTCCTGCAATAGCCCATCGCGTTCTGTTCCAGTCGACGGCAGATCAAATACAGCGGTGATGAGTAATTGCTGAAGGAGCTGTAAGATTTGAAGAAGCGGATATGCGGACAGAGCGAAGGGGTCGAAATCCCGAAGAATGGAAACGAGGAGATATCGGGCTTTGTCTGAGTCCGAGAACTGTATAGCCTCTGCTTTGTGGAGTACATCTTCGGCAAGTTTAACATGCTCTTGGAGTGATGCAGTGCTGACAGAAAGCTTTGTGCCGCATATAGAACATGTGATCTCCGTGGTGCCCAAAGATGCTAATATAACATATAAGCCAACGATGTCGTGGAATGGGTACACAACGAAAAAGCACGCACTTGGTGTTCCCATTTTCCCTTTACATCCCTTCTTGCTACATCTCAAAGCTTCTCGAGGGTCAATCCATTCGTGATCATGATGTTTTTCACAGAGAACGCATTCGCAATCGAACAAATAGCGGTCCTTCAGTTCTTTCCATCGTAGTGACCTTGGCAAGGCAATATCCACATACGAAGTCAGAACCTAGAAATGTAATGTCAGGAAATGACTGTATCAAATGATGAAAGCGGCTACCTCTTCTCCTGGTTGCAGATCCCGTAGTGCAATCACTTCTAGCCCGCCACGTCTGCCCAGACCTGTTGGAAATACTACCACAGCATTAGGCATACATGAATGCGATATCAGAGCGGCCAACGGAGAGATAGCGACTCCGACGTTTGTCAAATCTGGAGTAGTGAGGGAGAAAGAGTTAGTTTGGAACTATGTCAAATGTTAAGCCTTGCGCATCGAAAGACCTGATGGGCTACTGACTCGAGACAGCAAATTGGTTAAATCCCGTATTGACGAAAACCCTAGCTCTTTAAGCTTACGAGCCGTCTCTGCTGGGGGTGTATCTTGCGGAGAGATGTCCAGATATCGAACTAAGGCGAAACCGAGTAGTGAGAGTGGTTCGTGTTGTTGAGGGTTCAGGCGCTCGATGTCTATGACAATTTTCAGGTACATATTGACAGATGCAGAAATACCACAGACCTGACTGCATCAACTCCACTTCTTTCCACTATGCTAAAGCTCGTCAGTTATGCTCAACGGAAATGACAGACTGTGTACGCACCGACGCGCTCCCTTCTCCTAACCGTTTGCGTGCCCATACCAATCTTCCCAGTGCTCTCACAGCCTCCCCAGGCAGCGAACAATCCTCTCCTTGAGGGCTTGTTAAGCTTTTCAATACACGACATTCTTCTTTGTGGTCCTTCCAGTCATGTGTCTGACACTCCCGCGAGCAATATGACACAACTAGGCAGCCAGTACACCGGCGCAGCTGGACGACCTTGTACTCAGCGGAGAGCGATGATTGAGGATTTAACAGACATGACGTGCAATAAGCACCGATATCTCTACTTGAGAGACTGTATGCATGTGGTTTCACTTTTATCAGGGTTGACCCTTCCCAAGGTTGTGAGAAGAGGCATAACGTGGGCAATCAATGACAAGCTCACCAGCCTTAACGGTCATGCCTTGCTTGACATATATACCTCTTCCCTTCTTCTTGCTCTCCCGTACTTCAAGAAAATCGGGCAGTTCATCATAAACACCCGTTTCGTACGTGTAAGACTTCGTTTCTTCCATTGCAGGAACAGACCGTGGTGTCGCGTCTGAGTCGGAGAGCTCGGCAGGCACAGATCCTTTCACATCGGTCGAGGGAGATACAGAACCAGAATATACTGATGCAAATGACGGCCCTTGTCGGGCTTGTCGTTTGTCCCGCAATGCAGCGAATGATGACATAGAGAGATAAAGGTCGTCTCTGTGTACATGGCACAGTGTACGACCTCATCGGAGCCGAGGACCATTCGGATTATTATCGGATTCTAATTTGCTCAACTCATCTTTCACCTTTCTTCACGCTACCAAAATGTACGGCAACATTGGTTTAATCACACCTCGTGGATCTGGCACGAACGGTTATGTTGTGCGCAACTTATCAGCTCTTCGTCCTCGTGATTCCAGCTATGGACGGGCTGACGACTTCGACCGTGCACCCCCAAGGCATCGTGAGCCGGATCAATCAATTTTGGAGCACGAAAAGAGGCGGAAGGTTGAAGTGAAGTGCATGGAGCTGCAGGTGGAACTAGAAGAGGACGGGTGAGTGTCAAGTTTTTTTACATCTAGGCTCACAAATACCAATGGAGATGACAGAGTTGATGACGAGGAAGTTCAACGTCGAGTGGCCGAGTTGCGTGACAAGTTGACGAACGACATGTCCGGCATTGCGCCCACGCCAGTCAAATCTCTCAAACCCTCCGACACGCATGCTATTGCTGCAGCCAAGAAGGCCGAGTTGGAAAAGATGTCTCGCGCCCTTGGTACTCAAAGCTACGTCGAAGGCGAGGCTTTCAATCGCGAGTTGCAGGAAGAGCGACGCCAAGAAGCGTTACGCGAGCGTGAGAGGCGAGACGAACAGAGAAGGGAACGTCGTGAAGTAGAAGCGAAGGAGCGCGAGGAAAGAGAAAAGCAATCGAAGGAGCGTGAACGGCTCCGTCGACGCGAAGAAGACCGGCTGCGAAAAGAACGAGAGGAACGTGAACGGGAGAGGATGGTGCGCCGGAGCCCCACCCCTCCTCGGAACGGGTATTCTCGCCGATCATCACCTCCTCGAGATCGCGATGGTGACTTCAATCGTGACCGTCGCGACTACGATCGTCGCCCGCCATTACGACGGGACGACCGTCGAGATAATCGACGAGATGACCGACGAGACGATACCCGGGATGATCGTTCCCGATCACCTCCTCCCCGTCGCGCTGAGCGTTCGCCGCCCCCTCGGAGGGAGCGCACACCTCCCCTGCGCCGACGCTCGTCAACCCCTGAGGAAGGAGAGCGTGAAGAAGATACCCGTTCTCCTCCATCAGATCCCAACAGGGAAGGTAGGGAAATGAGCCCTCCACGCCGTCCAGCTCGATCGCCCACTCCCGAGGCAGTACCCCGCCGTCGTCCAATCCGCTCGCCCATACCCCCGCCCCGTCGGCTTCCTGCTCGCTCTCCTACACCCGAATCTTCCCCTCGAAGGAATGCACGTCGTTTCCCTGACGATGAGCCATCTCGCCGACGATTCGACGACTCGAGCTCTCCACCTAGGAGGCGCGCGGATTCTCGCTGCCCCCCGAGGAGGCGTGAGGATTCTCGCTCTCCTCCACCAAGGAGGCGTGAAGATTCCCGCTCTCCACCCCTCAGGAAAGACAGGGATGAACCCGGCGAAGAGCGTGAAAAAGACAAGGAGAACAAAGGCGAGACTATCGGTAGCAGGGCAAGGAGTCGCAGCGTCTCCTCAGGGAGCAGCATGAGTGTTGGGAGCGAGGACTGAGTGAGGGCTAGTGGTTACAGTAGTTCTATGGTTTGGTCACTTGTATTTCCTAAAAACTGCCTAGCAGATTGTAAGCGGGTAGACTCGTTCATGACATCCTAGCTCATCTCGTATCAATTCAATTCTATGCTATGTATTACGAGCCCAAAAAATATCGTCGCTGCGTCTCTCACAGGAGTGGCGTTGCGCGTCCCTCAATCAGCACACGACGTCCACTCTCACACCAACAACTCCCTCTGCACTATACAAAATACCGCTATAAGCCTAAGCGATACCCCATTTTCTAATCCCAACCATGTCCTACCACCTCTTCATCATAAACCCCTTCGACACACCCCTCTACTCGCTCACCTTTCTCTCCACGCGTCCCGTCTCCGGGCCCACAAGCACGCTCGCCTCCCAGCTCCCTAGCTGGTCGGCCTCCGCATTCGGGGGAACGGTGGCCGCCTTGTCTGGCGCTACGAGCGTGAAGGGTTCTGGGCCGCTGGGTCCTGGGCAGGGAAAGGAGGACAGACATGTGGTCATGATGATTGCCAATGCGAGCTTGGATGTGGTGGAGGACGTGCAACGGACTAACGGGTCGATGTGAGCTTGTCATTGACTCATCTGCATTTGAAAATCCTGATCCGTTTGTAGGTATCTGAAGGCTATCGATCGGTTTAACGAATGGACCGTATCTGCGTTCATCACCCCTGGCAGTAAGCTCACTGTTTCTGTCTTTTTTCGTCTGCGACTGGCTGACTTATCCACAGATATGAAGTTCATCCTGCTCCACGAGCCTAAGAACGACGAAGGCATCCGGCTGTTCTTCATGGAAGTATGGGAGAACTACGTCAAGGTAGGCTACGCTATTTCTTCTATCCTATTCTGTGGTCATGGGACGTTGCTGACATTGGCACAGTTACAGCTCAGCCCGTTTCATAATTACAGGACGCCGATACGCAGCCCGGTGTTCGACGCGAGGATCAAGGCGAGCGCGAAGCGATATCTCTGATGCACTCACGAAAAGTGCATATATGCGCCGATCCCGCCGATCCCGACTTCTGTCATGTGTGTTCGTCTCGCCCGTGTCGACTTGCCCTGCACGGCCAGTTGAGCTCTGCGCATCTAACTCAAATATACGGAACGCCCGGCGAACTGGCCCGAACACGACCATTGCCGGCATGGGATGCTCTCGCTGCCACGTATGTCGTGTCTGGTCCGTCGAGTGAGCAGATTAAGCCGGGGGACGATAGCAATACGATTGGATTTGTATTAGCAGCAGGGGCTAGAGCACTATACGTTGATGACAAGATACCTCGTGATGGAGAGTTACTTTACATAGCTTACACAGGAAATTTCGGAATTCCGGCCAGCGAAGCATCTAAATAATGTGAATACCAATGACCGCATGAACGGGCTAGCTTGTGCTACAGCGTTCTCACGACTGGAAAACAGTTCTACCAAGCGGCAATCTCTGACGACGATGTGCGACGGTCAGGTACGATTATGTCGTACACGTTGACTATCAAAGGCTGATATTGCCATGGGATACACAGTACGGTACGAGGGAGATTACTCGGGTGGTAGTCGGGCAGCTCCTGGGTCTCGTCTATGATGCACATTCCTGTCCATCGGTAAAGCTGGGGTACGCGCCCGTAGTCCAATTCCCAGCCTCGAGGCAGTCCCGCACGATCACCGGAAAAGCTGCTTATCAGCTATGCTGGGTAACGCTCAACATGGGACTGAGCGTGGTGTCCGGGACCCGAGACAGCTTGTACCATGCTCAAAAGTAGATCAACAATAGCACGAGTGTCGTCAGCTGGTGGTGTTGTGCAGTTTCAGTTCGTAAGCCACGTAAGCACCAGATGGGTAAGGGACCGTCCTCCGGCGCCTAGAGAAGAGTCCTGATCAATCCTGCCACGTCCGACGAAGGTGAAGTGCTGGCACCATACAACGCAGAAGATATCCAGACAAACGATGCATTATGACAGGTTGTATACAGGTTGAAGACAAGATGATTGGGCCCTCAAGACTCGGAAAATGGGTGCCGCAACTCGCCCGCCAGGACCGGACACGGGCCGGCTGACCAATCGCCGGTCGGCGAGCGGAAGGTGCCACGTCGACATAACCAGCATCAGTGAGCGCTCAGGTGCTGTACCTTAGCGTGTGTTCTCTCTGGGGGACGTCGATCGGAAAGCACCGAGCGCAGATCCCGCAGTCTCGTATTGATGATTATCACCGCTTTGTTTAACGGCATAAAATACGACAGCGGTGCGATCAGGTCTCACGACCTAGATGAATTATCGCGGGCAAAGCAGGAAGGCGCGTGACAGTCAAAGGGCGAATGAGAGGGAAGACGTTGCAAGTGGCGTCCCTTACTTTTGTGTGTTGACCAATGAGAGGGCGAGAATGCCGAGGAGCGGAAGTAAATTTTGCGGGAAGCCGCGTGGCAGTGAGGGAAAAGTGAATGCTTCTTTTGGTAGGGGCGGGAGAGAGGAGATGATATTCTGGGTCTCAATATTTCATATAAGTACCACAGTACTAGTTTGAAGTGCGTTGCGTTCCTTCCCCCGCTCCCCTCCCATCGTCACCGCTCATCGTCGTCCTCATCCTGCTCAGCAGCATACAAGGCACATGGATCGCCTCACAACTCGCAGCTTATCAAAGCTGCGTTCTTCCTGCCCCTACCTCCTCCGCACTCCAACTTCCACTCTCCGCTCGCTGAGTACAACCGCTTCCGCCCAGGCAGGTCTCACCAGGCTCGCCGTCACCGCCCAGAAATGCCCCGTCATGGGACCCGCTCTCGCCGTTCGCGCGGCTCAGATCGGGCATCCTGCTAAGTCTGCCGGGCCCTCTAAAGGATGCCCGTTCCACGCTGCCCAGGGCAAGCGCGGCTACGCCTCCGTCGCTGGTCGCGCGGAGGTCGACGAGATCCACAAGAAGGCCGGTGTCGCTGCTGTTCCTGCCCAGGGTATCTGCCCCCACGCTGCTGCCGGAGCTCGGGCGGCTGCTGTCGATACGCCTGCTCCTGGCACCCCGGTCGACTCCAAGGCTGCGTCCGCTGAGCAGACGCATGAGCACGATGGGAAGGCATATGACTACGAGGCGTTCTACCGCTCCCAGCTCGAGAGGAAACACAAAGACTCGAGCTACAGGTACTTCAACAACATCAACCGCCTGGCGAAGCAGTTCCCTGTTGCGCATACAGAGAACACTCAGGAGAAGGTCGATGTGTGGTGCAGCAACGATTATCTCGGGATGGGAAGGAACGAGGTGCTGTTGGATACCATGCAGTGAGTTGTATTTCGCTGCATATATGCGCCGTGGTTCATATTGGAGCAGTCGTACCCTCGACCGCTACGGTTCCGGAGCCGGTGGGACGAGAAATATCGCCGGTAACGGTGCACTGCATCTCTCCCTCGAAGCCGAGCTCGCGAGACTGCATCGCAAGCCTGCTGCATTGGTGTTCTCCTCCTGCTATGTCGCGAACGACGCTACGTTGGCCACGCTCGCGTCCAAGCTCCCCGGTTGTGTCATCTTCTCCGATGCATTGAACCATGCGTCTATGATCGAGGGCATCAAACATTCTGGCGCGAAGAAGGTGATCTGGAAACACAACGACCTTGCTGACCTTGAGGCGAAACTGGCTGCTGTTCCGAAAGAAACCCCGAAGATCATTGCTTTTGAGAGCATATACAGCATGTGCGGCTCAGTTGGACCCATTAAGGAAATTTGCGATCTGGCAGACAAGTACGGTGCGATCACATTCAACGACGAAGTGCATGCAGTTGGCATGTACGGTCCGCACGGGGCAGGTGTTGCGGAGCATCTGGACTTCGAGGCGAACGCTAAGGCCCCAGATGGCGAGCGGGTCCCTGGCAGCGTCATGGACCGTATCGATATCATCACTGGCACACTTGGCAAGGCATGGGGTACGGTAGGCGGCTACATTGCCGGCTCGCATGACTTTATCGACACGATCCGTTCTTATGCTCCTGGGTTTATTTTCACTACTTCCCTTCCACCCGCAACGGTCGCTGGCTCTCAAGCGTCCATCGCCTACCAGAGCGCGCATATCGCTGACCGCCAACTCCAGCAACTGAACACGCGTGCCCTCAGGTCTGAGTTGGCAAAACGCGATATCCCTGTCGTCCCCGGTCCGTCGCACATCGTCCCTATCCTCGTGGGAGACGCAGCGCTTGCCAAAGCAGCTTCCGACCGCCTCTTACGGAAATACAACATATATGTGCAATCGATCAACTACCCTACTGTCCCCGTCGGTGAGGAAAGGCTCAGGATCACCCCCACTCCTGGGCACTCGAAAGCCCAGATGACGCACTTGATCAACTCCCTCGAAGAGGTATTCAACGACCTATCCATCCCTCGTGAATCTGAGTGGGTCCGCCGGGGCGGCCGTGCAGGCGTAGGCATGCCCGGCGCGCAAAAGGTCAACTCGATCTGGACGGACGAACAGCTCGGACTGCTAGACGGTACGGCCCCGAAGATGCTGGACGAGCTTCCAAAGGGACGCGCGAAGATCGATGAGCGCGCAGCTCAGATTGCGGAGAAACGCCTGGAGCACCTCTTAGGCCCCAGCACGCGGGCCATAAGGTTCGCAAACCCGGTCGAGGAGCACGTCAGAGCGCCCGAAGTGCCCGTGGAGATCCTTAACGAGGCGGGGCTGGGTAGTGCGACTGCCTGATCTGCCTGATCTGACGTTGAGAATGCCAAATGCCACAAATGGCAGCAAATGTCTTGTAATTCTCCTCAAAGTGTTTCTAAGCGTCACGGTGATGTACTGCCTGTACGCGCTCAATCTACCGAAGTAGCCCAAAATGAATGGGCCCGGGAATGATATTTGTTTTCTGTATACAGTATTGTGTGTTCGTGCAGGCGGAAATTCTTGCTGCATGTTCTTTACGGCGACTGAGAAACACACCTGCGTAAAGTGAAACGTGCCTTGTCTTGCTTTTACTGGGGTCCAGATATCCTCCCGACTCTTTCAATGGTTGTGGAATTCGTAGGCGCTGTTCTCCTATTTGGTGTGTTGATAGCACGGGCACTGGGTGAGGAGACAGAGTGCATTTGCATTCGGTCTACCAAGTTTACAACAAAAAGGGCGGACGAAACCGGTTTCTTAAGGGGAAGGTTTAGGTTGGGGAGAAGGATATTTCAGGCATGGGAAGAAGCACATTTCGGGGATGAGGAGAACACAGGAAAACATGCTTCCCCCTAAAGGACGCTGCGCTTAGAGTTCATCGACGGTGTGCCAGGTCCAGGACTGGGAAGAGCCCGGATAGATAGCGTTGATGATGACCTGTGAGAGAACAGGATGGGTCAGCAGGCGATCCATAGCCGTGAGACCTAGGTGACGTACGGGGATGAAATTGGCCGTAGGGTCGTCATAGTGGTACCAATCCAGCTGGCCGTTGGTGGGATAGTTGGGCGACATGCTGGGAAGGATGAGAACCCATTCTTAATGAGTAATAAATTTAACGTACTACCAGGATCCGTCCTCATTCCCCACAGTGAGAGTGAAGTACGCAGCGTCGGCCTGAGAAGGCGCGGTCTGAAGCATCCAGTAGCCCGGGGAATAGTGGTCCGAGCTAGTGAACTGGGTCATGGAGATCCAGTTGCCGGTGTCGGCCTCGGCAAACAGGTAGAGCACCTCGCCGTTCGACAAGGGGTTTTCGTAGATAGCCATCTAAATGGAGTTATCAAATGAGCATTCATAGGCCATTCTGATGCAAACGTCGTTGGGCTTACCAACTGGGTGCGGGAATATTCCCCATTAACGAGCGGGGAAACTCCGATCGGGACACCGGCAGAAGAGTTGCCCTCCTGCAGCTTAGTCCACGCACCACCAAGGTAGTCGTTGGTCAAGTACCCGAGAGCGTTGGGGCCGTTCTGGCGCAGGACGGGGGACCGCAGGACGGGGGAAGCGGTGGCAAGGCCGCAGAAAAGCAGAGCAGCGGAGAGGATGGTCGAGGCGTACATGATTCGTTTGCTGGTGAGGATGCTGGTGGCTTGAGGTTGCTGAGGCTGAGGCTGGTCCTGATGATACATTGCTTGCAACAGGCCGTGTTTATATGCAGAGCACCATGAGGTTCACAGTCTCGTGGGCGACGCAATCGGCTACCAAACGCTCATGTTGCTTCGCATTCGTCGTTAGAAGCTTCCAACAGCGGCCGTCGAGCAAAAGATGTCCCAATAACAAGCAAAGTCCAGTCCACCTCAGAAGAACATAGTAAACAAGCAACGAACATCCAGGGATGGTTCGCACGGAGGAGAGGAAAAGCAGGTCAGAAACTGTTTTTGCCGGAAAAGAGTCACAGATCCACATCAGATTAGATCCACGTTGCGCTCATTGGTTTAAGCGACCTCTTGCGGCCGTTATGAAGCGATCAAGAGTTCCTGGTCGTCATAGACTGGTCGTTCGCCGCAGGGAGAAGAACGTCTAAGCGGGGCGGCAAGATATACCTCGGAAGTCGACATGCAAGTAAGAAGGACGTTCGTGCCCGACGTAGCGGGTTCTGCGAGTGAGGCAGGAGTCGCCAGAACACGACCTCATAGGAACATATGGGAAGGACAGCCGTGTCAGGGGTTAGAGGCGTCCGAAGCAGCCCGCAAGCAATAAGTACCACTTCTTTCCAAGCGGGTCAGACGAGTAAGGCAAGAGCACTGGTAGGCAGATACATAGTCCTAGAAGACAGGGTACGAGAAGGGAATCTCTCGGAAGAATAGGCGCTGGGCCATTTATAGCCGCTGGAAAGCGGTTGCAATCACAATCGCTGGCTGCTTCTGGTAATTAATTGACTTGCGGCCGAGGCTCTGCGCTGGAGTGTAGGCGTGAAGCGTACTTCCTCCTCTCTCTGTTTTCTATCCTTCAGCACCATGCACTTTCGGCTAATGCTTGACACGGGGTTATGCGGTAGACGGTAGACAGTAGACCGGACACTAGTACTGCAGTCGACGAACAGAGTGCAGGTCCTGAAATGTTCAGGCAGGCAACAACAGCCGAAAGGCTCTTTCCCATAAAACCCACACAGAAAAAATCGCCCCCCACCGCCGGGGGGATAGCAGCGGGGAGGTGCTCGGTTCTGGCTGTATCGAAAGACAGTAGCCGATCGGGACTCGGACTCGGAGTTCCCACTCGTTCGGATCTGTCGTCTGTCGTCTACCCCTCCGCTCTACAGATGAGAAATACCTTCGTCCTTTGTCAACACGACGTTTGTCTCGTCGGGTTGGACGTCGAAGGGAGATCAGACTGGCCGAGGCGTGGGGCGCTATCCCTTGCGTCAAGGTGCGAAATGCGAAATGCAAAGTTCGTCGTTCCTGTTCCGCGCTTGCATCTTCCTGTGGAGATAGAGCCTCCTCTCCTTCCCCCCCTGCCTCAAGTCCAGCTCATCCAGAGGCTGCAATACTCCTTCCCAACCGCTCCTCCAACAGCGGCATCCCAGCCCCCCCAGCCCCACCCCCCCTCCTAACCCCATCCAACCAAACCCCTCCCTCCCTCTCCCACCTACTCACGCCCAACCCCGCCCGCTCACACACTTCCCTAAACTCTTGCGGGAGGGGGGCGCGGATGGTGAGCGTGTACCGGCGGGCTCGGGCTTTGCGTGCTGTGCCCTTGGGTTTGGGAGGGGGGTGGGGGTGGGGTGATGTGGGTCCGGAGGAAGAGAAGGAGGAGGAGGGGGATAGAGAGAAATGGGACGGCTGATCTGACCTAGGCCTGGGGAATACGATGTTGCTTTCTTCACCGTTTCCCTCTTTTTCGCACTCGCCATCCAGATCAGGGCAGTCAAACATCTCCCTAACCTGCTCAGCCTGCGCATCCGCACGCTCCCTCAACGCTCTCTCAAACAAGCTCGCCACCTCCCCCTGCGCATTCTCCATCCCAAGCTCGACCCCATCCCCATCCCGAACCCCGAGTTCGAGCGCCTCTCCCCTCCTTAAGAACCTCGGCAAGCTCAGCCTTGCCGCATGGAGCAATAAGGGTGTATCCGTTCCCTTTCTCCGCCGCTCGATCGCGAAGGGGGCAAGGGTACGGTCGTATCTCGCATCTCCTAAGATAGGACAGCCGAGGACTTGAGAGCAGTGGGCGCGGAGTTGGTGGTAGAACCCTGTTATGAGGGAAAGGGAGAGCAAGGTGAGGTCGTATTCCTCCTATTTGGGGTTTGTTAGCTTGGAGGAGGGGCAGGGGAGGGGAGCGCACGGAATAAGCCTGCACTTCCCAATGGGTGGTACACCGCGCCGGCACGCCGATGTTCTTCCACGGCCCTTCCGGGCGGTTCCTGATCAGCTCCTCCAGCTCTTCCTGAGCGGGTTCGTCCCTCACTAGAGCAAACCGACCCCTCCTCTCGAGCCAATTGTCTATTATTCCCCGTTCGCCGTGTAGACGGTGTACGTTCCCGCGCACGAGAGCGACGTACTGTTTTTTTACTTGTTTGGAAGCCCAGAGGCGGTGGAGAGAGGTAGCGATACGCGGGTTGAGGGCGAAGAGGAGGACGCCAGTCACAGGTCTGTCTAGTCTGTGCACAACGAGGGGTAGCTCCGGGAGAGCAAAATGCTGCTGTAATAGTGGGAGGAGCTCTGTGACCGTTTTCGCCTAAAAGAGTGAGTGCAGGATGGGGGAGGGAAGGTAGGGCGTACCCAATATCTAGGATTAGGATGCTGGTTGCCTTGGGAGTTCATGCCCGCTGGTTTTGAGATTGCGAGCAGGCCACGGTCACGGTATAGGATGGGGACGAGGACGTTGAGGGAGGGGAGGAGGACGTGGCCTCGTTGTGAGTATTGGCGACATTGGTATATGGGATGATGGTGGTTGTGGAAGAAGGAGAGGAGGGAAGGATGAGTTCGATGGGGTGACATTCCACTCTAAAGCAGTTCAGAGTACAAAGTAAACGATCACCGCCCAAATAGGAAATTACTCTAAATTTAGGATCCGCACTCTTCACTCATCTCAGACGACCATCTAATACAAGTGCATCAGTCATGGCACGTACTTCCCTCTATGCGCATATATCTAACTAATCTCCCTTCAAGGCGCTCTTTCGCTCCTTTCGCCCTTTCACTCTTCCCCGTCTTACAAGATCATACGAAACAGCAGGCACGCTCTACCCCTTCAACCCCTCAGCCCAACTCATCCCACCTCCATCCCTGCCCGTATCCCCAAAGCTAAAGCGAGGAAAAGGGCTAATGATCCACCTACGCCAGAACTCACCAACCGAGCGCACCCAAAAACTTCTCCAGACATTCTTTGCCCGCAGAAGTGCAAATCGGATCGTACCCGGGTCGATCCTGCACTTGACACTCAAACGCGCCCCTTTCTCCTTCTCCGGCGTACTCATGGAAATAAGGCACAAAGGACCCGACAGCTCCTTCGTATTACGGAACGTGGTACACCGGACTGGGGTAGAGATGCGTTTCACTGTCGGGTCGGAGAATATCGTCGATATGCAGGTGCAGAGGAGCGAGAAACGAAGGAGCAGGAGCAGGCTGTTCTATTTGAGAGATGATCCCGCTAAGATGAACGCTATTTCCCAGGGGGCGAAGCGGAGACGGGAGAGGGAAGAGAAGAGGGAGAAGGAGAAGAAGCAGTTGGAGGAGAAGGGTAAGCATGGGAGACCGAAGGCGAAAAGGTAGTATACTGTGTTCAGGCAAGGGGCAGAAGAATGGAATTCATGCACGCATCCCCGCACGTCAGATATATGCTGCTCATATGCGCACGCTAAGTATACGCCGTATAGGACTCCCTTGCCAGTAGTAAACTAGTTAGCCCACAGAACCGCATTCCCATCCGCCCCTACACTAACACACCAACAGAACCTCGGGTGCCACCTGACGCCCAACACACCCAAGCCTTCCCTCACCTCGTGCCCTCTCAGAATCTTAAGCGGCACGATCCTCGGGTCCTGCATCAAGTCCGCGTACACCGTCGCGTGAAACAACTGGAGCGTGCCGTCATCCGAGGCAGTAGCGAACAGCGGATAATGCGGGCTGAACGCCAGTCCCCGGATAGCGCGAGAATGATACCGCAGGACTTTGAACGGTCTTGTACCCATCTCCAGGTCGAACCAGGCGAGTTTGCGGTCGTACGACCCCACGAGCAGGTGTTGCCCTGAGGGGTGCAGGGAGAGGGAGGAGATCCACCTCAGGCCTGGGTGGAGGGTGCGCACGAGCCGCTGGTTAGCGAGGTCGTATTGTCTTACGTAGCGCTGTGTCTGTTCATCCAATTGCAATTGCGGTTGTTAGTCAGTGTCGTTTCTTCTGGGAAGGGGGAGGGGGGGGACGTACAGCGACAAAGAAATGCGGTAAACGCGGGTGGAAGCTCACGAGCTGCACACTCCCTTTCATCCTATTAAACGGGCTCTGACTCGAGTGCCTCGTCACCTGGTGGATATACACACTCCCCGCTCCGGCATCAGGAGCGACGGAAGCGAAGTAATCGCCTTTGTTGTGCCAGGCAAGATGCTTCACTTGCCCTGGGAGGTAGATGGAGAGTGTGTGCCCGGGACAGAGGGGGGGCTTGGAGGGGGTCCATTTGGGGTTGGAGGGAGAAGGGGGGGA